AAATCATGTGAGGATCAAATTGCAACGCAACGCTTCGCATCATAATAGAACAGAGCATAGAATGGCAATCAGCTCTCTACCTCAACTTCATCAACTTTGAGAAGGCCTTTGACAGCGTCGACCGAGAAGTAATTTGGAAACTGCTTCAATACTACGGAGTACCACAAACCTTTATCCGCCTCATTCAACAACTATATGAAGATGCCACATGCCAAGTAATCCACAATGGGAAGCTCAGTGATGCCTTTGAAGTGAAGACAGGAGTGAAACAAGGTTGCCTACTATCCCCCATGATATTCCTTATTGTGGTGGACTGGATCATGCAGCAAACAGTAGGCAGCGAGAAGAGGGGAATACGCTGGACGGCGGAAAAGAACCTAGAAGACTTGGATTTCGCCAGTGATGACTTGTGCCTAATGTCACATAAACTTGAAGATCTACAGGAAAAAACTAACAAGTTGATAGAAGAGGCAGGGCAGCGAAGACGGGACTTCAGGTGAATATAGAGAAGACAGAGGTGATGAAGATACCGCGCCACCACCATCAACAACAACAACAACAAACTCCAATCACCGTCAACGGGAGAAACTTAAAGGAAGTAACCTCCTTCACTTATCTAGGAAGCACTGTTTCAACTACAGGCGGGACGGACGAGGACGTCAAAGTCAGAATCGGAAAGACAGCAAGACAGGCGTTCATTAGCCTGAAACCAGTGTGGAGATCTTCTGCACTCAACATAAAGTGTGAACAAGATACGGATTTTCAACACCAACATCAAGTCAGTGCTCTTGTATGGCTCAGAGACTTGGCGCGTCACGAAAGGCATTTCCAATAAACTACAGACATTCATCAACAACTGCTTACGCTGGCTCGATACTGAAGATCAGATGGATTGCCAGAAAGAATAAGCAACAAGGAACTCTGGGAACGAACCAACCAAGAACCTATCACGCAACAAATATGCAGGAGGAAGTGGAGATGGATTGGCCATGCACTGAGAAGGCCGACTGAGGACATCACGCGTCAGGCCAGTTACTCGAGTGGAATCCCCATGGGAAGCGACGAGTTGGACGTCGGTGTCGAGGGTGACATGGAGGAGGTCGTGCGAGGAGGAAATGAGAGCTTGTGGGCTGTCGTGGGACCAGGTTCAAAAGATCTCAGAGAACAGAGTGTACTGGAGGCGTGCTACTGAAGCCCTATGTTCCACTAGGAACCCAAGGGACAAATAATAATAATAATATCCTTGTCCGTCTTGATATCCTTTTCTTCCTGTTAGTTTTCTTTCTACTGTGGAAAAGTTTTGCATCTTGAGCTAATTCCCTAGTCTATCAGATTCTACGTTTTCATGACAAGCAGAAAGGCATTTTTCAACCATCGGGTTAATGGACATGGGTATACCTATAGTCTTTCGGTGAAGCCTATTTTACTTTGAGAGTTATTCTGTTCTCTTATGTATTATCAGATGTAGACCGAACGGCAAACTGACTATACTCTGTAACCCTTTTTGTTCATCTGACAAATTCATTGTGGTTCGTTGTACTTGTACTTTGTGCTTATTTTATTTGGCGATTAGTTATCAAGTATAGCCGTAAATACTACCCGTTTTCAACCTCCTAATTCTCTTCATCTTGACACAAAATGCAGCTTACGAGCATGTGCAGATTTGCGGAGTTGCAGTATTGTTCCTTTACTGTCCAGTAAGACGTAACTAAATGTTGCACAACTCAGAAATGTGGTACATGCTTAAGTATTAAAATATGAGCTACACTTAATGTGGAAACTCATGGTAATATTCGATCGCTCATATCGCAGTAAATAGAGAGATCCTTAAACCCAAGACTCACTGCTAGAAGGTAGAAAGATAAGTTCATGCTTAATATTGACCTACATGCATCAACTGCAGCTGGAATTAGTTTATTTACTAAGGGTGGTGAAAGCTTCGTTAAACGAAGAGAATTTTTAGAATTCACCGTTTCCATTGGTGATTTTAATGTTGCAGTTGTGAAGTTGGGTTTTGTAAATGGTTAATCAGCCTCTGTAACAATTCAGTGTTACAAATCTAACGATGACAGCTGTATTGCTAGTCTACTTGAATAAGTCACGACTTCACTTCGAGATAATCAGGGATATCGGTTTGGTAAAACTGTAGTAGTCAGATTGGTGAGTATCAGCAGTGTTTGACCCATTTGCAAATGCCTATTGATTCTATCAGTCACACATCTTGTCAGTCCATGATGAATACCAACCTAAAATTAGAAAGTAGATAACTGTAATTGTTGGCAGAAAACTAGGTCAAAGAAATGATGTAGTAAAAAATGTGAAATGTATCAGGTGTCCAGACGAAAGTATGACAAGTGCGTCTGCATCATCAACTGTATATCACGACCGAGAATGGCATACTCCAATTTACGTCACCTTCAGCACCATCATAAAGTCTAACCTACTGTATAAGGTCGGGTGTGTAACGTCTGTGTGTGCAATTAGATTTTGTCTGCGAAATCTTGTCTCTCTGAGCTGAGGATGTCCTGCGACTCTACGTTTTTGATCGCTGTTGTCTTCATGGGATTGCTCGCATCCTATATAAACACGATGTAAGTAGTTTTGAGATGAAGCAGTGTATGTTTAAATGTGATAAGAGTCGCTGTTCATTGAATGAGATCATCTTGAAATATTAGGTTTTCTTGCTGGGACAAGTGTTACGAATGTTGTTTGAGCGTCTATCATACCACGCACTGTTTACTTGTCGTAGGAATGGTTGGGAGAAGTGAAGAGATGGTCAGTGTATGACGTGGCACCGTGGAATGAAGGAGAGATGTCTTGGGTTAGCGTCTGTAGGTGCCTCTCAACTCGTTGGATAGAGTCGAAGAGGTTACGCAACTTGGTGATATGTGACGATAGGAGATATGATTCAGAATGGGAACCGGTGGTGACCAGGCTACAGTTTGTTGTTTCTTCTATTACTGTAAAGTAAGGGGAAAGTAGTTAATGGTTCTTTAGGTATAATTTTGTGTGTTTCTTTAATCACCTATTTGTTTTTCTTGTCTTTCTGTATCAAATTTTGTCGTTTTAGTGTGTCGTTCTATTATTCTGTATGATGTATCTTTTGGTGTCCATTTTGTGCCAAGATTTTGTTCGAAATAAAAATTGAAAAATTAATACTTTACCACAGTGAAAAGCTTTTAGCCGTCTCATGAAGCCTCAACAAATCAACTTTACTCATTTCAGGAAGTCTATGCTTCTGCATACAGTTTTGGTCATCAATTGAAAACTACTTGAATTGGTATCCTGTTTTCGTCTTATCACTCTTAGACTTTCTCCGAACTAATAATACTTCATCTAATGTTAGATGTTGAAGTGGATGAGTGTTCGGTGTGTATGAAATGTGTTTTAAGCACCTCATTTTATAAAAATTCACACCCCAACCGAATTATTTGTCCCATTCACCTAGTCTGATATCAGAATTTCTCATCTAAATGTTCCTTTTCATGCAAGTGGTACTCCCAAAAGCTGGTGACCACACATCTTTTACACTCAGAGAATATAATTGATGTATATCTATTAAGACAATTAACATTACCAGCTAGTGGCCATACTATCTGCAATACTTGTCCTCTGATGTCCTCTATATGAAGATAATTGATAGAATAACAGTCAAAGTGAAAAGAGCTACTTTTTTAGTGTGAATATATGGACTTGGATGTAATGAGCTCGAGTTCATCCTGCTGATGATACTACGATTTGGCAGAAACTTTCCTTTCAATATCTGGCAGGTTTTTCTATTCTAAGAACAATGAGTTGTATAAAGTTACCCTCAAAAACTGCACATCCTATAGTGCAAACAAGTTTATAATAAGCTTCATAAATGATGGGAAAGATGTAAAACTTAGCATTACATAACACCCTGTTTATGAACGGTTCTTAGCAGATTTCCACTGGCTTTGCGGTACATCTGTACTTATCCTATTCCTACTTCAGGCAACCTTTTGATTTCAACTCAAGTTTCCGAAACCTTTCTTTCCAAGTTTCAGTGGTTATTAGAATTGTTGCAAATTAAACTTGTATTGAAGTGTCAGATGATTTCCTGCAAACAGTAACATATGTTTTCCGTTTAGTGTGATAATTTTCTTTTTTCCTCTACTTAAATCTTGGTTTCTTCAAGTTGTCAGTGGTACTGAAAATTCTTTTGTGTATTTATTGGCCATTGTTTACACATCCACTACTTTAACCTTAAAGTTTTGGTATATGGTAAGTTAGGATTTTCCAGGTTTTTTCAACCTGTATTTCCTCAACATTCAACTGGTTCTTGGTAAGATAGGTAAAGACAGTTTCAGTAATTTACTGACATCCTTTTACTGGCAGCAGAGTGTGAAGTGATTGAGATGTTTGACTATCATACGGATGCAAAAGATTTGACTGAATTTTGCCAGCTGGTGCCGCTTGTGACTTCGGTGAGGCTTATGATTACATATCAATGGTTGCGTGTATTGTATAACGGTCGACTTTTTCCTACTACATATTTCTGAATTTAAGAAGCCTTCAGATATTTGGTCACTGGTGACTGTAGAGCGTAACCCATGTATACTGGAACAACTTTGTAAACTATGTAGAGGTTGGGTGTAAAGTTGTAGGCGAGAATTAATTGAATCTACGAGGTTGTTAACCTCTATCTTTAGTGATGGTCATTTCTTGTGTTACACATACCAACTCGCAGTGCACCCGAAGACTCAATGCCAACTGAAGTAGGATTAAGTTGGAAAACAACATGTACCTTGTGTATTCATGTGTGGTCTGGCAACTTGATGTTTGTTCGCATGATGATAATAGTAGTATTTTTCAAGAGGTTATTGATTTATTTTCACAAAAATTCTGTGCTGTACCTTGATTGGGACAACGTACATAGCCTTTAATCCATCCACCATTGTTTCATGGTGAATAGATGAGTTTTTAAATAATATATATTCTATATATTGTAAATAATTTTCTTTAAACAGCAGATAAATATGTCAAATGTCGCTGTACGTTCAAATGAACTATCAACTATTTGGCCCCTATTAATTGATTATGATAGACGCGAATGTCTACAAATCCTACGTCGTTTGGAACTTGAAGCTTATAGTAAGATTGTAGCAGTTTTGAGGGCACAAGGGCCACTTACAGAAGAGAAGAAAACACTTTTATGCAAACTGCAACGTCTTTTGAGCATTTCTATCGATCGGCATAAAGCAGAAGTTCGAAGAGCCTTGAATGACGAAGAGCTTGCTACAATTTCAGAAGCGTAAGTTCTGTGTATCTACTAACTCTTATTTTTTGAAGTGTATGTGGGAAGGAGGTTGATGAAGAGTGGATTTTAGAGGGCAAACGTATTTCTCCAATATTTCAGCGTCCAAGCCCTGAGACAATATTTCTATCTCAAGCCAACAAAGCTTCATTCGAGCAATTGGTCCGTAATTCTAGATTACCATGCCAGCTGAAACAGCACTCCCAGAAAACCTGGTAAAATTGAAGTTTAATGAGAAAGCGGAAGTTAAGCAAGTAGCTGAAAAGGTAAGACAAGGGTTTGATAATAAGGCTTTTCATCGATTTCTAAGTGGTAACCTAGTTTTAGTCATAGCCATTTGGTGTCTCTGACTACGTATATGGAAATTATAGGCTGTGTCGAGTCGATTTGATGTCTTTATTATGGAGCCTGTAGTTAGTTGTTTCTAACTAAGAAAATGTTTTTCAGTACTTTATCACTCATTTAATAGATGTATGTATATAGTAAATAAACTTTCACGTAAGGAATACGACGGTTGTAATGTAGAATGTGAGGACTACCTACTATGAACTATGTATCATATAAGAAAGTGATATGGACTAGTAAATCCATTGAACAGAGTTGGAAAAGGATACGGAGAAAGCATATATACTGGTTTATGCTTGTTAGCTGCTTATGATAGTAGATGGGACCTTCGGTTGGTAGTTTAAAAGGCTGTAGTTTTGAAGTTGATCAGTTTGACAGTGGAGAAATAACTAAACTTGCTGTGAGTTTGTGCACCACATGTATCTGCATTCAGATTACTCGGCTGGTTCAGATTTTTTAGCTACTTTTAAGTTGTCGATTCTTAAAAATTTTCATTAGTTGGTTTTTAGTAAATAATTTCCTTGAAAATGAAAGATTTTTTGATAGCTTCTTTTTCATTGAGATAGTTTTTCGTTTTTGTAAGTGTTCTGTATTATCAAACCTTGATTAGTTGTTTTTTAAAATGAGGCTAGAGTTACAAAATATGTATTGGGTACTGTGATTAGTTTGACTAGCTTATTCTGGTCCACCTTAGTTATTTGGTAAGCTTTAACGAAGTAACAACTTTGTGTTTATGAACTTAAGTATTCTGGTAAACTTACCAGTAAGACGGTCGTCAAAGGTTATACGAAGGTTGAAGAACCAAAAGGCAAAAGGGGATTATTTTCTTTGAGCCCTCCCTGTACATATGTAAAGAAAAGGTAGTGCAGATCTGGAAAGAGAGAAAAGAGATGAAGTTATTTTAAGCCTAATGTGAAACTAAGATTGCAGAAAAGCTTGTACAGACTATGACACACTAGACTAGTTTGTTTAACATCAAATCGGCCAGCAAGCTTCGCTAATCGAAAATCTAGCTTCTCGGGTCACGAACATGTATTGTGTTTGTGTGACACGCAGGCAAGACTCGAATGCAGTTATTCACTTACCTTTGAATTAATAGTGCACTGAAACTCGCCGCTGTTTCTTTGTAGTTTTCGGTCACGTCGCATCCACTAACTGGAGTTCGGATGAAGTGAAAAATGAGTTTTACCGAAAATTGTCTAGTTTCCTACTGAAATCCGAAAGTTTATAAATAGAGTTATCACAGCAATTAGTTTAAATGCTTTAATGGGTAGGACGAACTAAACATAAACCCATTTAGGTGGCACTTTCGGAATAGTGTTTTGTGAATTTGTGGTATGCATTATTATTATTATTATTATTATTATTATTATTATTATTATTATTATTATTATTATTATTAGCACAGAAACATGGTACAGGAAGGGCACCGAAAAATGCGCCACACAAGATAATACAACACTTTTTTAAGACATGAAGCGAAGGGAAGTGGATCAACGAAAAACAATAAGAATCGAATAATTAGAAAGGCAGTTCAGTAAGATAAATTTGAAACTAGGCATTCATTAGTTTCAGCAACAGAAGACTGAAGGAACCTACAGCATGACCGCCGCTGCTTTCGATTCTGAACCATATCTGGTAACGTCTCAAGTCACTTAGTTGCGTGATCTCTATATAGGTACGAGTGAAAAAGCATGAATAAAGAACTCGATCGTTTACAGGTTTTTGCCACACTTATTGTATGAGAGCTGAATATACTGCATGGCTACTCACAATCCAGTGATTGGAGCAACCCGGTTTAGAAGTCTAGTGTCTAGACCGGTGAGCTGCAACTCTACCTTTATCTTGGTAGTTTGTGATAACTTGATTTTTTGATTATTTTCAATATTAACTGATTTTAGTTGGACAATTACCATCACTTAAACTGATAGTATTGAGCAGGTGTTTTGTTTTATTCTATGACTTTAAAGCAGTGCTCAATATAAATCACTTCGGAGATAGAAACTAGGGAGTTCAATTATTTTTGATGATCGTTTTGACGTCAAACCAATCGACTGGAATCGAGCAGTCAATCTTTTTGATCTCAACTTGATCTGTGATGTAGTGTGAGACTGCCCACTAGTGCTATTGGTGGTTATCCGTTGTTATTAATTTACACATCTCCAAAAAGATCATAGCTCTTCTCTTTATATTTTAGAAATTCGATTCATCAAACCGTGTTAGTAGTGGTTCTTTATTAGTGATTAGACTTCAAACTGTTGGATGCGACTAGTGCTTTGGTTGCGCAGTATGAACTCTTCTCTTTTAGCTACCGAATTTTGAATTTAAACCTTTTTCCGTCCACTTTGTTTTGGACAAGTGAGGTAATAAGTGTGAAATAGATGTGTTAACTTACAGGTGAAGCTGAAGTTCAGTGACCTAAGTGACTGACTTGCAATTCCTACCCACTGAGGTCTGATCAACCAGAGTTATCATAAGTCCTCATACAATAGCTGTCACTCACTGCTTAGTGCACAAATTTGCATGTGATCGCTGAGTTACATACCATACTATATTACATGTATCTACATTATAGTTTTGGTTGCCTGTATTCGGTAGTGTGATACATACTGATGATGTGCAGTGATTATTGTTTAGCTATAGATTCTCTTTGATGGAAAGTATTCCGGTCTATTTCTAAATGTACCTTATTGTTCGAATATTGTGGATAGTTATCTGTAGTGAGCAAATGTTTTTAATTTGTACTTTTCACATCCAATGATCTCTTATTTAGAAATCACCTTCAATGAATAGTGAGTGTCTGTGTGAAGTTCCAACAAATGCATCTGAAGCTGAAATTCTTGCTGATAAAAATTCAGCGAAACAAAATGAAAATGAAAATGATGACATACATTTTATAAAATCGGACAGCTTGGATGAATCTCCAGAAAAACGTTCTCCAATTAAATCTCAAAATCCTCTTGTGAAATCCTTGCTGAAACCAAAGGCTTCTATATCATTACCATCAAAAGACAGTACCTACTCATTCGATAAGTATTCACCTCACACATTACTAAACACGGGGTTTAATGCAACGGAAGAGGAGAGCTATCGGGAGAATATCCCTTCATCATACAGTAACTCTGTAAATCCAAAGAATAAGCTTTTAATGAATAGACTATCGTTGCCAATCACCACACGTGAGTCTTTTGGGAGTTTTCTTTTGAAATCGAAAACTAACTTATCAAACGTTGTAGGTGACATAGTAAACAAAGCTGAGAAAGTCACTCTTGCTGTTCACGAGCCAAATTCACTGAATGCTACGAATGTGAAGAATACAAGTGTTACTCAATTTGTAACAGCGAATGTTGCATATACTGTTACAGAACCTCGTACTGTTCAACCTGTTATTAGTCAAATCGGTCGCATTCCGGGAACAACTATTACAACTGGAAAGGTGTTCAATTCATCTAATTATGGTGTACATGGTTCGAATATTTCTACACATACATCTCAACAGTTGGTTTTTCAAATGCATCGAACTTCGGATATGATATTGGTTAGTATTTGTTATAAGTGTTTTCTAGTGTTGTTTCACCATTGTTACACAATCAAGCCAACAGATGGTAAATTTAATCTTTATTGCCTTGGGTAATGTCCACATGTTTCCATGTTTGATGGCCAAGCAAATAAAAATACGGATAGAAAGAGAGAAAATAACGTTGGATATTGATCGTGTTTGCTGCATTTGAGTGTAGTTCATTAACAGTGTTGTACATACTCCGCTGTGTGCAATCAAAGTAATATTGTCTAGCATGGAGAACGCATTTCCCTTTATTTTCAGTAGAATTTAACAAGTTTGTTGGATTTAAGTGACCTCTTAATTTTATCTTACAATGACAAGAAGATTAGGGTTAGTTGTGTTTTCAATAAGAACGTCTCATACGGATTTTCCCCTTTCACTCCTGACTTCTTCGTGAATATTCAGAGATAAGGTAGTTCTTACAAAGCAACTAACCAGTCACTATGAAACTTTTATAATTCTCGCTGATTACCATATTTCAATTTAAATCACAATACAATTTTATCTTAGCAGTCAAATTTGAAACTAAATTTATAAGAATTCGCAAGACAGTAAACCTTGGTTGAATGTGCTCTTACGTTGAAGGATGTCAGCAGTTGTAATCGATATGCCTTATTCTACAGGAGCATATCAACTGGTTAATGGGGGTGAAATCAGCCAGATGAAGGGACTTGGCTCTAATAAAATAGGAAAACAACTTTTTACTCATAAATGTTGGTTGAAGTTTGACTGCGGTATTCTCTCAGTCACCCTTATGGTCATCTTTGCATTGTATAGCCATACATAGGATCGTTTTAAAAACAGGACGAGTGACCAGTCTAATTCTCCCTCCTCTCTCCTTTATGTTTTTATCAATATATTGTTTGAGATATTTATTTTCAACAAGTGTCTTACTAGGACCATTTGGTTCTCCTTCAATGCAGTCTGTCCTAGAAACACTTCTAATTCGATAGCAAGGAGGGTAAATGCAGTTACGATTTTTTGATATGATAACTAATTTCCAGTTACAGTTTTCGTCTTTTAGGGTATTAACTCTTGCTTCAGCTTCTGCCTTATGTTGATTTCAGTAGTATGGGGCAGGTATACGGTTGTTGTTCTTTATTAATCTAAGTACTTTTAAATTGTCGTTTTCACGCCAAGTTTGCAGCATGATTAGTTCGTCATACCCATTTTCAAGGTAATTCGCTGATTAGTTAATGGTTGGATTTAAAATATTTATGTTTCAAATTCTGGTCATATGGTACGTATACATATATATGCACACGTGTTTTGAGTGAATTGACTATTCTTCTCGAAGGTAATAAACTCTCCTATCCAGTCCAGGTTTTTCTTTTTTGTCTGAGGTTTGAGTCAGTTGATCTGGCGTACAAAATTGGCCATCAGTCAAGCGTGCGTGTTATATCCACTCGAAAGCTTAACATCGCTGTTCGTAGAAGTATGCGTAACTGTACAATGGAAATTTGTATTACTTGTTTGGTAGTCTGTTTCGAAGAAAACTCTAATTTTTACATTCTTCCAGTTGCTTGAACTAATATCAACTTAGTTTCGTAAACCTACTTTAGCTTGCTTGACTGGAATCATTTATCAAATGTTTTTGTTAGCCTTCGAAATAATAGAAAACTGAAGTGCACTGTATAAGTTCAGGTCATTGTGTTTTGAGGCAAGGGAAAACTAAGAAGCGGAATTAAAAAGAACTAGAGAAATATATTTGTGATTTTGCACAAGTTGAGGAGTATTCAGCTCAGATAACTTTTGTTACTGTGCAAATACAGTTATTTCAGTAATAGGCTTTTCGTACCACTGTATACTTTCTCGCTACTCGTTCAACAGCAGAAACTGGCATACAGTTTGTCAAATGGTGAATTCTTACCTCACCTTGATATATAGTAACGTAGGTGGTCTCGAAAACTTGTGATTCTTCCCCACTGTTGACTTTGTATTCATCATTAATACGTAAATTTTTTCTTTCGAGCTTGTTTGACTGTAGTGAGTAGATATTTAACATAGAAAAGTTGTTTGACAAAATATAAAGATCCTGAATAGGTAACAGTAAGTTTTTGATGCTGCAATATATTTTTTATGGATTGGCAGTTGAAATTGGTAAATTAATGACTGTGATGCTATAGATTCATACTGTAAAGTGGTTTAACATAAATTTGCTTATTGCTTACTTTTACAGGATTCTAATCAACAACTTTTAGATACTCAACGCTGTTCTGTCATCAATCCTAACAATTCAGTATTTGTATCCGAACATTCACCTTCCGCTGTTACACGTTTATGTTCTAACCAAGCTAGCAATTTTACCAATAAACTACAACAACCTATCAGATCTACTATAGATAATATGACTGGAGTTATGCGTCAGCAGCATACATTGACTCCCAGTGTACTGAGTGTTCAAAGTCTTCATCGTAAGTTAGGTTTTTATAAGTATGTATATTTTATTGAAGTTTGTTGGATTAGATGGTATCGTAGGTGTATTTCCCTCTATTAATCGCTTTACCACAAGTAAATATGAAACCCTCAAGTAATAATACGGATGTCCGTATAGTATGACGAACAATCTGTTCATCTTTTTAATGAACTGAGAATGACCTTGATGCTATTCATGAAATACTGTTGGAAAAAATCATACCTCCTTACACTCAGCTTCCTAACATAATGCTCTGTTGATCTATAGTCATCACGTTATGCATTCATATTAAACTTCATCTATTTTAATTTGAATAAGCGTATAGTTAATCTTCAAAACATGTTTGGATAGTGGCCTATTGACCGAAAGGTTTTGGGGGTTACTAGGTTACAATGAATTGCATTCCTTGGAGTAAACGTTATTTTTACAATATTTTCTCTCTACCTCCTTATTTTAGCTATGAGATAATTGAAAGGATTATCTGTTATGCACTCAGCCCAAAATAGAAATTTGTGAAGGTCCTTCTGGCTTTTCATGCAGTGCTATTTCTCACATTTAGGGATCTATTTCTCTTCTCTTTATTGATACGAATTTTACCTTTCTATCCTGATTGAACCTGTCATTGATCAGTTGAACTGGATCACTGGCAGAACCTGAATGTGGTACAAGCTACTTTTCAGGAAGACGGTCATTGGCTTAATTTATCTTTCCGTTAGTATGTTGTGGGTTTGGAATATGTGTTATCTGTCGAGGTTTAGGCTACCCACATCGTATCACTAAACGTCACAACATGTTTCTCCCTACTATACATGTACTTATTTGGTTAAGTTACTATCTTTCAAAATATTATTTATTGCATTCAAATTCTGCTTAGTTATTGTGTATACAGTTGATTCGTTTTTGGGATGAGTTTGTACACTGTACGGTATATTCTACATCAATCAACCATCTTAATACCTTTGCCAGCACTAACATCTGTCTTGGGTTCTTATAGAGCTACATAATATCAGTTCATAGTTTAAAAACACATTGAGTAAACGTTTTTGGGGGCAGCACTCTAAGAGTATCTGAAAAAAGCCTACTAAATGTAATTTATTGACATGAAATTGGTTTTAATTCTGTATTTATTATTATTATCTGTCCCTTGGGTTCCTAGTGGAACATAGGGCTTCAGTACCACGTCTCCATTTCACTCTGTTCTCTACAGTCTTTTGAACCTGGCTCCACCACTGCCCAGAAGCCTTCATTTCTTCCTCACACCATTTTCTCCATGTCACCCTCAGCTTGGACACCCAACTCGTTTCCCCTTTGGATTTTACTCGATGGCCTGGCCTGGCGCGTGATTTTCCCAGTCGGCCTTCTCAGCGTATACCCAATCCATCTCCACGTTCTCTTGCATATTTGTTGGGCGATGGGTTCTTGGTTGATTCGTTGCCAGAGTTTCTTGTTGCTTATTCTCTGTATTTATGAGTTCAGCAATTTTCACTCTCAATATTATGGAGACGCTTGTGTTATTTCCATTAAATCCTCCCTTTGTGTTTCGGGGAAAAGGATTTAAGTTAAGCAAATTAACGAGAACAATCTACTAATAGCTTTAATTATAAGTTTATCGAAGTCCGCAGCCACCACTGTCATCACTGAGAGGGTACGCCAGTAAGATGCTAAATTTGTTGATGAACCAACCATGCTATTGGTATCAGTTAGGGGCAACGAAATAAGTACCAAAGGATACTTAGTACTGCAAACTGAACTGTAGCCAATAGTTCTGATGCATCTGAAAATTGACTTAAGAAGGATTTTACTTGACCACAGTCTAGTCGTTTGGCGAACATGTTAACTTGTAGATAAGTGAAGTGATAGAGAAACATTAGCGGAATTATTATTTGCACTAGCTGCACTGCTGGTTTTAATGTTAATTGTAATTCTGCGCTTATGAAGGTTAATTTATTTTTTCTGTTGTCAGGATGGTGTGGTTTGTATAATCCTCCAAATTTAAGTCTTTGTCAACCCACTTTTTTATATGAAGTTGGAGGATGTCATAGCCGTAACTTAATAGGATGTCAACTAATTCTGTTGCCATTATTTGATGTGGCAGATATGTTTTATCCAGTAAGAAGAGGTGTTTGTTATCGCTTACCAGAGGTAATAATGTATTAGTCAGTTGTTCATCAAATGTAGATCTATGTGGTACCTTTTGATGTTCAATTCGTCCATGACTAAACTGTGTATTTGTTGTTTACCTAGCAACTTCATCTCAACGTTTTCGGAATCCACAACCGTCAGTTATTTCTACCAATGAAACTTCAAGACCTATATCGCTTTCACACGTCTCGGGTCCCAAAGTCATAAAAACCGCAATATCTGCCAGTAATGTTGGGTCAACACACCCACCAAATTTGTTTTGCAGTTCCATGATCAATATTACATCAGATGGTTTACCGATTGTTGATCAAACGAATCGTACTTCAGTCGTTCCACAGAATACACTAGTTTCATCAAGTTCATTGGGTCAATTTCCACCTTCGATTTCCACTAACAATGTTATTGTTCTACATAGAGGTAAATATTGAGCTTCTATTCTGAATCTCATATTTTTGCTTCGAATTTAGATAAATGTAATGCGTTGCCTTACTAATCTTTATTGAATACAAGTAAGATTTGATTACAGGTGATATTAATTTGTTTTTCATTATTATTATTATTAGTCCCTTGGGTTCCTAGTGGAACATAGGGCTTCAGTTGCACGCCTCCAGTACACTCTGTTCTCTGAGATCTTTTGGACCTGGTCCCACGACAGCCCACAAGCTCTCATTTCCTCCTCGCACGACCTCCTCCATGTCACCCTCGACACCGACGTCCAACTCGTCGCTTCCCATGGGGATTCCACTCGAGTAACTGGCCTGACGCGTGATGTCCTCAGTCGGCCTTCTCAGTGCATGGCCAATCCATCTCCACTTCCTCCTGCATATTTGTTGCGTGATAGGTTCTTGGTTGGTTCGTTCCCAGAGTTCCTTGTTGCTTATTCTTTCTGGCAATCCATCTGATCTTCAGTATCGAGCCAGCGTAAGCAGTTGTTGATGAATGTCTGTAGTTTATTGGAAATGCCTTTCGTGACGCGCCAAGTCTCTGAACCATACAGGAGCAGTGACTTGACGTTGGTGTTGAAAATCCGTATCTTGTTCCGCATGCTGAGTGCAGAAGATCTCCACACTGGTTTCAGGCTAATGAACGCCTGTCTTGCTGTCTTTCCGATTCTGACTTTGACGTCCTCGTCCGTCCCGCCTGTAGTTGAAACAGTGCTTCCTAGATAAGTGAAGGAGGTTACTTCCTTTAAGTTTCTCCCGTTGACGGTGATTGGAGTTTGTTGTTGTTGTTGATGGTGGTGGTGCGGTATCTTCATCACCTCTGTCTTCTCTATATTCACCTGAAGTCCCGTCTTCGCTGCCCTGCCTCTTCTATCAACTTGTTAGTTTTTTCCTGTAGATCTTCAAGTTTATGTGACATTAGGCACAAGTCATCACTGGCGAAATCCAAGTCTTCTAGGTTCTTTTCCGCCGTCCAGCGTATTCCCCTCTTCTCGCTGCCTACTGTTTGCTGCATGATCCAGTCCACCACAATAAGGAATATCATGGGGGATAGTAGGCAACCTTGTTTCACTCCTGTCTTCACTTCAAAGGCATCACTGAGCTTCCCATTGTGAATAACTTGGCATGTGGCATCTTCATATAGTTGTTGAATGATGTGGATAAAGGTTTGTGGTACTCCGTAGTATTGAAGCAGTTTCCAAATTACTTCTCGGTCGACGCTGTCAAAGGCCTTCTCAAAGTCGATGAAGTTGAGGTAGAGAGCTGATTGCCATTCTATGCTCTGTTCTATGATGATGCGAAGCGTTGCAATTTGGTCTGCACATGATTTGTAGTTTCTGAAGCCTGCCTGTTCCGGTCGCAGTTTTGAATCCAGTGCATCTTTAAGCCTCTCTAGGATGATGCGGCTTAATATTTTACTTGCACTGGGTGGACAGGAGAGTGATTCCGCGCCAGTTCTTGCAAGCACTGAGGTCTCCCTTGTTTTTAACGAAGAGAATTTATTACCAACAGAAACTGATCAGTTTTGTGCTCTAGATCATCAACAGAAAAAGAAAAAAAACACTGCGGTAGCTTCCTTATGACTTTAAGTATTTACCAAAAGGAACTGAACAAATGCATAATTGTCGAAGTTCTTCCATTTATTTTCGGATCAGATCATTCCAGGTTGAGAAAAATGTGGAACTATGCAACTCAACAGTGACAATAATAATTTATGCTTTCAGGCGTTTTTGTGTTTTGTTGCTGAGTAAAATCAAGTTGTAGTCTCTTCTCACCAACCGGCTGCAGTCTTATATAGATCATTATTTACTTTAGGAATGTTTGTAGAAGTTGTTGCCTATACCGTTGGAAACAGGTTTGTTCATTCGTCTAAACTGCTGAAAGAATGTTTTATCGTCGAAAAATGTCAGTTTCTGAATAACCGCTTACTAGGTTAACAAACAATAACGTGTTCAATTCCAACTCATAGGGTGTAGATGTTCTTTGCTACTAAGACGTTTCATGGTGTAAGCAAGGACCTGTTCATTAATCATTAGTTGTCACTGGTTTCTGATTTGTTACTAGCCTCTAACTGTAAACAGAAGGTGTGGACGGAAGAGAAGGTACCTGACGATTGGAAGAAGGGTTACATTGTCAAACTGCCGAAGAAAGGAGACCTCAGTGTTTGCAAGAACTGGCGCGGAATCACTCTCCTGTCCACCCAGTGCAAGTAAAATATTAAGCCGCATCATCCTAGAGAGGCTTAAAGATGCACTGGATTCAAAACTGCGACCGGAACAGGCAGGCTTCAGAAACTACAAATCATGTGCAGACCAAATTGCAACGCTTCGCATCATCATAGAACAGAGCATAGAATGGCAATCAGCTCTCTACCTCAACTTCATCGACTTTGAGAAGGCCTTTGACAGCGTCGACCGAGAAGTAATTTGGAAACTGCTTCAATACTACGGAGTACCACAAACCTTTATCCACATCATTCAACAACTATATGAAGATGCCACATGCCAAGTTATTCACAATGGGAAGCTCAGTGATGCCTTTGAAGTGAAGACAGGAGTGAAACAAGGTTGCCTACTATCCCCCATGATATTCCTTATTGTGGTGGACTGGATCATGCAGCAAACAGTAGGCAGCGAGAAGAGGGGATACGCTGGACGGCGGAAAAGAACCTAGAAGACTTGGATTTCGCCAGTGATGACTTGTGCCTAATGTCACATAAACTTGAAGATCTACAGGAAAAAACTAACAAGTTGATAGAAGAGGCAGGGCAGCGAAGACGGGACTTCAGGTGAATATAGAGAAGACAGAGGTGATGAAGATACCGCACCACCACCATCAACAACAACAACAAACTCCAATCACCGTCAACGGGAGAAACTTAAAGGAAGTAACCTCCTTCACTTATCTAGGAAGCACTGTTTCAACTACAGGCGGGACGGACGAGGACGTCAAAGTCAGAATCGGAAAGACAGCAAGACAGGCGTTCATTAGCCTGAAACCAGTGTGGAGATCTTCTGCACTCAGCATGCGGAACAAGATACGGATTTTCAACACCAACGTCAAGTCACTGCTCCTGTATGGTTCAGAGACTTGGCGCGTCACGAAAGGCATTTCCAATAAACTACAGACATTCATCAACAACTGCTTACGCTGGCTCGATACTGAAGATCAGATGGATTGCCAGAAAGAATAAGCAACAAGGAACTCTGGGAACGAACCAACCAAGAACCTATCACGCAACAAATATGCAGGAGGAAGTGGAGATGGATTGGCCATGCACTGAGAAGGCCGACTGAGGACATCACGCGTCAGGCCAGTTACTCGAGTGGAATCCCCATGGGAAGCGACGAGTTGGACGTCGGTGTCGAGGGTGACATGGAGGAGGTCGTGCGAGGAGGAAATGAGAGCTTGTGGGCTGTCGTGGGACCAGGTCCAAAAGATCTCAGAGAACAGAGTGTACTGGAGGCGTGCAACTGAAGCCCTATGTTCCACTAGGAACCCAAGGGACTAATAATAATAATAATAATAATAATAATAATAATAATAAACTGTAAACAAAATCCATTTGTGAATCAACGCTAATTATTCTATTGACATATCATAATAAGGTTTGATTCTCTGAAACTGTTTTTTTTTTGTATATTTGCCTGATCCACACATACTTTCCTCATAAAGTACCTCTCCTTGTACAATCTTCTTAAGATTCCATCTGAGTCCTTTTGGTGGTGTTGCTTTTTAGGCAATCGTATTGAGGATAAATATATTTACTGGTTAAATTCACTTCTTTGAGTACGTTCTGTAGAGAAATAATTAGCTTTTGTTGTTGGATCTAAAGCGTCCGGCGGTAACATTTTCAGCTTGAACATTTTTTGTCTGCTACTTACCCTGAGCTAAATTGTAAGTTTTTGGTGTTTCTAACCTTTCAAATATTAAATGTTGATTGAGAGCTGGTTTAAATCCATGGCCTGTTTCATGAAAAAAATCAAAGTTATTTCCTTAGGGCAAATTAGATTGTAGATTACAAACAGTTGATCCGATGGATCCAAACCTAACTCGTTTTTCTTCACAGTAACTCCTAAACATATTTCATTTTTGTTTGTCGAGTGGTGTATATTCACTTCACTTCTTGATATTAAACATAAACCGTTTTTCTGTTGCATTTTAGGTGTTGCGCGTAAAACCTTTACATCTACTCCATCGATACGCATAGGACCAAATGCACCTGTGTATACGCAAACTATTCTATCTGGAAACTATTCAAACGCTTCAGCCGCATTTCCCGGTCGTCAGTTAAGAATTATTGGATTGCCAAATTCACCTGTTGTATGCAGTGCTAGCACTACTGAAACTCAAGTGTTCCTCCAGGAATCAAATGCAGTCATTCGTAGTATCAACGAAACAGTAGTATGTGCATCATTTATTAATTTTTATTAGCTAACCTAATAGTTATCAGCTCATGGATCTTCAAAATTACCACATATTCTTCAAGCTGAATAAATTTATTTTTCGGTTTAAATAGTACCAGGATATTCAGCCGGGTCATTCAGTGGATATGGGTTAAGGAGCACAGCGATTATAAACTTAATAATTCTTTCCTACCTGTTAGATGGATATTTTAAACTACTTATTGATATCAAGTCTGGATTCAGTTATCGAAGGGCTCAATTAAGCTTCTTCCGAATATGCTGTTCTTTTCAGGCAGGCAAGCGTGGAATGTGTGAGAAAGTTTTAGCGCACTATACTGTACTTTGAGAACGCTTCTTTGGATTTGATTTACTATGGGTTTTCGCAGGAATTCATTCCTCCTTCATTGTTTGTTAAGGTTTGGTTAGATTGAAAGTTGTTTTTTATGTTTCATTTTCGAACCCGTTTCATACGTTCATCATTAGCACAACGGGGAGGGGGGGGATTGTTTTATTCATTAATAATTTTGTACATAATAGCAACGTATGGAGATACTGTTTGATGGATGAAGTCTATGAATAGCTTTTACTCTCTCTACTTATGATGAAAGGAATTTCAGTGTGAATTTTTTGTTTATCAACTCTTGTTTTCACATGTAATGCGATTCGATCTCCATTTCACTTGAAAAATACTATTCAGTGAATTTTAATGACGCCCACCGACATCAAACCAACGGCAGATGCAGATCGTATTGCTATAAGCCATCGTTGGACAGGATCAATGGAGAATTGCTGCTCTTTCTGTAGTACCTGTTTGGTGTCCGATCTTGCATTACTATGGGGATATGTATCTCTTCTCTCTACTGGTTGTAGAAAAAAGACGACAGTTAAGCCTGTGCATGCTTGGTTGGAAGACAAGAATACTAAGTGCGTACTTAGGGAGGAAATAGCTAAACATTTATTTAAATATGACAATGGTGCTCATTCTGAGGAAACCTGGCATGATATTAAATCTGCTGTAGAAACAGCAGTGAAGATAGTTGGTAACCTGTCTTTATAGGTTAGCAAGTCACTGGATTTCTGCAGCATTATTTGAACTGATTGATGTCAGAAGACTGATTCCAACCGGCGAGACATTGCAAAGCCCAGTTCCACTGGCCCACAGTAACGTTTCAGTTACCCAGCACTCAGTCGGAACCTGAGTGGAAAATAAATGTCCTCTAACTCTCGTTGAAGTTGAGAATGCTGTTTCGAATCTTAAATGATGCACAGCTGCAGAATCTGATGGTTTGCCACCAGAACTTTTTTAAGGATGTCGGTAGAGAATTGCTGGTCAGAGTAACGGAGGTGCTGCACTAAGTGGTGTATGGGAATCAGAGGTAGTTTGTTCAAACTGGCCTACTTCACTGAAAGTTCCAGTATATAAGAAAGGAGAAAGATCTTGTGACAACCATAGAGGAATTAGTTTGACTAATATCGTGTCCAGGATCCTTGGGTTCATAGTTATCCGACGCCTAACTGGAGCTCGAGAAAACCAGGCAGGTTCTATACATGAACTACGGTGTATCAATCAGATTTTCACACTTCGACACATCCTGGAGCACAGGCACACTTCACGGCAGTTGACACTTCTCATATTTTTTGATCTGAAGACAATATTTGACTCTGTCGATCATGAGGTATTGTAGCAGTATCTGACTATGAAAAGAGTACTGAGCAAGTCAAGCGGAGGATACTAGGCAAAACAGGCAAGTCGATTGATGAGGTTGGGAACCTTAGTCAACTAAAATGGCTTGGACATGTAGTGCGCATACGTAGACAACGCCTACCTCGATATGCCATGCCAGAGGAAGTTTGATTAGGTTGAAAAACAGTTCAGTGAGGCCAAGCGAAGACCTGGCACCAGTGGATGAAGCCTCTGATTGTTGATCTGAGTAGTGTAGGGAGGTGTTAACTACCTCGCTGGGGTCTTTGAGACGAAAGGAATCAGTGGTTAGGAACTCTTAGTAGCATGGCTGAAAATCGATCATGGTCGCGCAGATTTAATCACTCCTTGACGTCTTCTAGAGCTTGAATATTTTCAGTGATCTTCATTTTGAGATTCGTTCTCCTCTCATACACCTTTGTAGACTTTGATATCACTCTTTTTCTGTCCACCTGTTTTATGTGTTCTACTGTGAATTGTGGCCATTTGAACTGATGGACTTGTATATGAGGTTCTTTGTTGATTTTTTCTGTCTGTCGTTGTATGTTAAAGGAATATGACATATTTTGTCTTTTTCTGGGATCAATCGCCTAAAATTGAATTTATATGATTGAGCATGTACGGTAACAGAATAGTCCATTCGGCGTCGAGAAGTAAAGCTATGTCTTTTTCATTATATAGCGTTTAATTGGGTCAGTGTTGACGGAAATAACATCATTGAATGATAAGGTTTTGAACGACAAAACTATCGAAGGTTTTCTCAAATTTGTTGTTAGACCTTTTGAGGAAGTTAATGTGTTTCATTTCTGCTTTGTGAATTGTAGCTAGTTAATCTGATGCTCTTCTGTAGAAGGTTCTATGTTGATTTGTTTGTGTCAAAGGCATGCAACCCATTTCTTGAAGTTGTCATCGTCTGAAAACGATATCCCACTTTTATAAGTCCTACCTCTCAAGCAAAGCTAGCGTAGTATTAGTTTTTACTTATTTCACTGTTTCGTATTTTAAAACAGTTTCCGTTTCATTCAAAAGCATTACAGTGATTAGTGTGACATACTCATTTAATGGATTTTGTTGTGAGATATTCGAATTGAAACATCTTATTTATAGTTTTAATGTGAATAATACAACTCAGCCTTGATATGCGGCTTTCTTCAGTAATCCATGAGCTACACCCATGATGTGGGGGTTGACGACACCACTTGGTTTCCCAGATGTCGGTAAATGAGACAAGGGTTTAACCTGTGAGCTAATTATCATTTAAGGGGTTTACTGATGTGTGTATATCTATGTAATGAACCGGGATATCTGACCTTGTGTGCAGCCTTATTGTCTATGTAGTATGATTAGTTGGTTGTGTAATTTTAAAAGGAATAGAAGTGTTTTGCGGCTATCACAGACTTTTAGGTATCTTATTAAACTTTTTACTTTCATGACTGTTGTTAAAATTTATGTTTTGTTTTGATTATTTTCACTTTTCTATCTGACAATTGTCGATTCAGAACAATTCTAACACTAATATTATTCCTTCAAGTCATTTACTGCATACATCACGCTTGGGAACAATATTGGAAGTTGATCTTGATTCAGAAAATTATGATGAGCAAAGTAATAATACAGATTATAGTAATAGTGATACTAGTGTTAAAAATTCTCAGAACATTCCTATAATTTCCAATTCATCATTATCGTCATTTGACTCACCAAGAATAACAACCCTTCATAAGTCGACAATATCCACTTCAGATGAAACTGCTGTTAATCAGTTTCGTAATAGTAGTAATCATGAACTATATGATACAACTGGATTATGCACAAAAATGAATGAACAACCGTCGAATAATATTACTTCACTGAATATTATCGGTGCAAATAAAGAGGATAGATTATCATCTTACAGTGATGTAAGTGTAATTTTATGCTTCCATTTTTCTTAATGTATCTAGGTTTACTTTGAATTTGCTATGGTAGAAAAAAACGTGTATGATTTTAAAACTCTTTCCTAGATAGTTTCCTGAGAGTATTTGGTGTGTGTTTTGCGCATACCAAATGTGAAAATTCTTTTTCCTTTGAGCTCGTAATCATATTTCCTCCTAGAATAATAAGTGATGGAGTTGGCGGTTCACGTTATTACGTTACTGATAAGTAGTTTACCAATTAGGTGCTTAGTACTCTGTTCGAATGTGATGAGTAATTTCAAGTGTGCTTAGAGATTTACATTTTTTGGTGGACAGTTCACTAGATGGAGTTAATCGACCTAGATTCCTAGATTCCAGCTGCTCCCAATATCCCGAAGCTTTGTTGTTGCTCGTAACTGCTAGTCCTGAAATGGAAAAAGTTTTCTATATATAATAGTGCTACTGATACTTTGCAAGTAGTCATCGAGGAATTATAGATATCTTTGGTTGCACCTAAAGTTTGTTAATCGCATACTTAGAAATCCAGTCGATTGTTTTCAGCTTTCGGGTAGTTTAATCATTCACTTTTGTTCCAGTCGTGGGTTAATACAATACCCAATTCTCTTCATGAAGCTAAAGGAAACTAAGGGAAACAAAGTAGAATAGCATAGGTCTATTGGATTTCTGGTCAGTAAGGCAGAGTATCCAATTACAGTGAAATTTGACATACATCTAATCAGTGGCGCAAAATGCAACCCATTGACTTAGTAAAGTTTTGCTTCACTTACTTCGGTTTGGGCAACAAAGTAGTAAGCCTTCATATATATTCATGACGCATAGACAAGTATATAAACATTTACTGGGTTCATTTTCACTAAATGGCATTACAATCACCTAGCAAACAAGATGGTGTAGTTTGAATTCTCAAGATTGCAAATTATATATATATATATATATATATATATATATATATATATATATATATATATATAAGGCGGAGTTTAAATCCTTGGTTGGGTAGATAGACAAAATCAATCTAGAACTATGCATAGAAGTGCTTTGGTTCAAGTTGCCACGTTTCACAGCAATATGCAAAGATTAAGTGGTTAGAAAAGAGCAATAATAACCCCGGAAAAAGTGTATGAGCGGAGGAAGAATTAAAAAGGATGAAGTTTAGGGAAAATGTTCAAAATTTCGAAGATATCGAAGGGTGAATATATGTGAGTCACTGTCACTGAGAATCCTCATTCGGTGATACCTGATATGGTGGCCCCAACCATGCAGTTTGCACCTCTTGACTGGTATTCCTCTTGGTCTGATCATCCTCAGCCTTCTTCCTACTCAATCCTACTTTGGTCTGCATCACACGTTGAGGTGGACGATGCCTCGGGAGGCTCAACATGCACCCCAGCCAGTTCAATCGGTGGAGGTTCATACTCTCATGGAATGACTTTTCTTCTTTGCCTAGTATTCTCCGCGTAATCTCAACATTAGTCACATGGTGATTCCACCATACATCAGCAGTTTTACGAAGACATTTATGGTAAAAAATCTGTAGCTTTTTCATAGCTTATTCTTTCAGAGCCCATATCTAAGGGACCTAATGGTTGAGAGTTAACTGTGTAAACTGATTAGGTTGTCCGGAATAAGTTTGGTTATCAGAAAATTTCTTGATAAACGTATAACAATTTAAGTTGTTATAGAATCTTGTTCGCGATAAGCTTGAGGCTATCGTGGACAAGGTTCTTGATGAATTATTTGCTGTGTAGTGCGATAAATCCCACTTATTTCAGTGTTTAGTCGTTCTGCAATTCATCTTTGAGATATCATTAGTGTTTAAAATGAATAACAAATAAATATCCGTCTTTTATTTTATCATTTAAGAGTCTGAGCATTGTAGAGCATATCAGTTTCTTCATAATACTCTTCTTTCGCTGTGTTTATTTCTCATTTATTGTTTTCAGTCTATGTAATTCACTAGTTGTAAAAAAGACCTACGGGAATCCAACAAAATGAAATAGACAAAAGAGATTTCACTCAAATTCCCCCTCTCCTCACAAATATTTTAGTACATGTCAGATTCCCTCTCTTTTAATTAACTGAACTGAATCGATCAAATTTTCTTGGCATAAAAGGCTCATTATAAATGTATCAATTTCATCTTGGCATTATTTATGAGTAGTTGGCTACTGTTTGTATTCAAGATGTTTATTTCATTTAATTCTGATATTAATTCTATACACATACTTCATAGTTGATCTCCCTTTGCTAATTATTCCTTTTTTTACCATTTTTTTCAGGATTCTATTGTACATAAACGAGAACAGTTGGTGGAAATTACAAGTACCGATTCATCACAGCAGTGTATCGAACTGGATTCTTGGAATCTTAACATTAACAGTAAATCCTCTGAACATTTTTCTGATAATACCACTTCAAATGTATTTAACAATCCACCGGATGCTAAACGACCACGATTTGAATTATCTGTAGCATCAGTTGAAAGTTCAAATTGAACATGATAAGTGAATGTGTAAAAATTTTTAACTTCAGCTAACTTATCATAATTACTATTGTTAATAGCTTAATTTTTATCATTGTAGCAGCCGCCTTCTCTTTATTATGCGTGTTTTCTACATGTTTATCTTAAAAATTTACCAGGAAGAATATGTTTATTCTTTAAAAATTTCCTGCATATGTTTTTGTTACTACTTAAGCAATTTATCATTACTTTATCTCTATTGTTTGACAGTATATCTTGTATTATAAAATGAATTATTCCTATAATTTATGTGTATTTACTCCTTCAATTTTTTATTTATTTATTTTCTGATGTAATTAATGTTTTATCCCCCCTGTTTAAATGAATACAAAATTGAAGTATGAAGTTGTAACAGTGTTATGTACATTCTAGATGTTCAATAAGAGTTTTAATAGCCTATCATAACATTTATTACATTCAAATGCTTGTACACTTTTCTTCGATTGCACTAAAACTTATTCTTTATATTTTTTTCTGAATATTCTATATACTGATTATGTACATAGTTTGTGCTGATCCGTTTTATTGTTGTATATGGAGATGATATGATATGATACTCGTGTCATAGTCATCAGTGTTATCATTGCTTAATTTATTGTTCTCCTTTTTGTTCACTGATAGTTTATTGCTGTTGTCATATTGTAAATGATTTTGTAGAAACGAGAAAGTGGGGGGGGGGAATATAAGGAGAATCAATAAGGCTATCCAACAACAGTTAATTCATACTTAGTATGGATTTCATAAGCTCCTCAAATTTCAGACAATGCATGCTACAGAAATAGTATACTAGGTGTTTACAAAAGAATCGGTATTTTGAAGTTTCAGTAATTAAAAAAATAGAGTATATGTTATGTTAGTTTTGTTACTTACTAGGGCTTTTCTTTTTCCCATTCTCTCCTCCATTCTAATAATGATGATTCTGGTTATGCTGTTGTTGTTGTTGTTATCGTCGTCATCGCCGTCACTTGTAGGAGCTTTTCAAGTTGGTTGTTAGCAGATTGTTTACTCTACTGGTGATTTTGTTTCAGTGATTGTCTGATTCACTTCATCAGATTTAACTTGTTTCTCAATAATATTATTTCTCCGTTTTTGTATGTTTACTTTCAATTACTGTATATTTAGAGAAGTTTACGTGAATGTCTTATGTTTTACGCGCATAAAAGATCCCATAGTTTGACTGCTAAATAACTGATCAACAATATGCTTCATATAGAGGAGATAGAAGGAAGATGTAGACGGATGACTAGAATTTTTCTAGAACTTCACTTTTAGATTGGTATTTTTTCCCAACTGTTGCTCATATCGAAAGGACGAAGTCGATTTTTGTAATCCTTTGTTTTTACTTAGTTGCATGCTATCCATTGTAAATACATTAATGTTTTTATACGAAATCTCTTTTTTTCTTTTTGCTATCAAATATTTTGTGTGAAGGTATGCGTGTCGGTGTGTAGTGATGTCTATGCATGGTTTAACCTTTTCACATGTATACTTATCTTTTCATATTGAGGGGGGGGTTATTAGTTAAGGTTATAAGTAGAACCCAAATGATATATTTAGATCATCTCTAATACAGCTTTTTCATGCGTTGTTGTTTAATCAGAAAAGAATATTTGTTTTCTGAAGTTACGCGTTAAGTTTTTTTAAAAACTCAGTTTAATATTTTGTGCACATTGAAACCACCAGTCTGTTTGCTGGAACTGTTAGTGAATACTGAAACTACTAGAAATTTCGAAGTGCACAGTAGCCCTTAGTATAGATTGATACATCACATATTTTCTTGAATTCGACACACCTCACTAAAGACATTGCTGTACTTTCATGTCGTCTCAAAATCAAGAAAGAAAATAGCGTTTTTGTCGGTGTTTGAAAATGTTTGAATCTTGTCTTCAGCTTCTCGTCGACAGGAAGGATGCGTGTTGACTTATAAGATCCCACTGTAGATACTAAAGGCTCGATTACCAACTATGCATTCAGCATACTGCACAACAGTTGGCTGTATCCTGCTATATGACTGTGAAACATGACTATTAACAGTATAGGGTATGAAAAGATTGCAAATGTTCGGTCACTGTTGCGTTGACAGCATCGGTCACATGTTGTGGATCCATCGTGTTTGTAATGTAGATACATTAGATCTTCGGTGTGGAAGGGAATCTATTGGGTGAGTTTATATATCTCTGTCGTCTATAAATCCTAGGATATGCATTACGCATGCCCAATCTCCGTCTTCCCTAACTTGCGAAGTAGGTTTAGCTTAAACTGGAAAAAGGTTGAGACTGACTTGACTAAATCTTGGTCAGTCTGTGAAGTCTGACTGTTGGTTCCAGCTCCTTAGGGAAATGTGAACTTCCTGTTTGGGGTATGTGAAACATCCGAAGTCGGTGGTTAGAAGGAGATTCGTAGTGTAGATTCATTCTTACGTGATTTTCATCTCACCTGTTGCGCCACGGTTCCATGTTTACCTCAACCTCTATTCATTTTTGTTCTTGGGAATTCCTGTCACTTCTTTCTTCCTTTTCGTTTGCGTTTTTGCTTTGTATCTCGATAGGCTGCAAGGCAATTTTATGTCCGATGTTGATATTAACTAACATTTCTAGTTTAGGCCACTTCATGAGTTAAAGAAGAATGGGTTTAAATACTACATGATTTAGTAGTAGGACATGTCCATTCATGTTATACTTTACATCACTGATATCAAGACAAAACCTTCAAGAGGATCAAAATAATTTTAACAGTCAGAAAAAATGAGACTGAGGAACGTAAACAAGGTGGGCAAAGAAGTAAAGGATATTATCATGTGGTGTCCAATATTTTTATGATTATAAGACTTGAATATGTATGCACGATGTAACTGATTTGTGGCCGTGTACAATCGCCAATTTTGCTTGCTGAGTTCTGAAGTAGACCACAAATAAGTAATCAATATTTGTAAGGCAGAACGTTTAGTACAATCCCATCACTTTTACGAGTGACTTTAAGGCTACCACAGCATCTGCTGAAATTACCTATCAGGTTTCAGTGTTCGGGCTGGGTGATAGTTTTTCATAAAATAGAAAACTGTAAACGGTTATCCCAGCACTTGTTGGGGTTGGTTTTAAAGTCAGTGCATTTCTGTTAATCTGGAAGTGTCATGTAATGTAGTTATCCTGAAGCTCTCCGTATGAAGGCTTGTGAAAGAACCTAGAATTACTTTCCTTGTATATATATTTATGTAATATGTCATGACACCTAAACTGTTACGTCTAGCAGTCTGCTAGTGACCAATATACAACCTAGTTTTCCATCTGTTGAGTCTATGATTGCTAGATATCACCTTAACGGTGTTAAGACTTTTTAAAGCAAGTGGGTGCTTCATATATGAAGGGGATAACAAGATAAGTTTACTGGGGTTTCAAGAGTTGTAAATTCAATAAGGAAATAATTCCTTTGTAAACCAAATAGTCCTTTCTTTTTTTCTGTATACGAGAATACATATACTTTTTCTGTCTGATAAAGGGGTTTTTTGTTCATTGGAGTAAAATCCTCTTCGAAAATTGCCTTAGTATGCGGAAAGGTATTTATTCGCAGGAAGGATGATGATTAGATGAAAATGGTGGTGAATAAACACATCCTTATAACTGAAGTTAGCTTTCTTAGAAATGAAATGTAATACTTTTGATTATCCTATTTTTCTTGAAAATCACTGAACACTGAAATAACTCGAGAAAATATGGTCATAATCCAGTCGTTAGTTAATTGGAATTTTTAAGAAAAATCCTACATGACTTGTGTTTAGCATATTTCTATCAGAATATTTTTTTTTTCACTGAGAAAGTTTTCTAATGTGGTTGACATGCAGTTATGTGTTTTATATTGTGATGTTAATTCAAAAGGGATTCATTCACGTACTGTTAACTTTTCCTTTCGTTGAGGCTCTAAATAATGCGATCATGGCATAAGTACTGACGAACGAATGAACTTTTTAAAGATGATTGTTTACGAAACCAAAGTTTTAGGTCTTAAAATAATGCGCTTAAGGTGACAAATTTAATTAAGAGCGGAAACTAATGTCACTGGGTTCGGAATCCTAAAGCCGCTGGTTCGAACCCCACTGCTTTGTAGATTTCCACTTCATTATCAATCATCACGCCTTATCAACATTACCATTTATTGAACCGAACTTCAAACCTATTTCGATGTGGTGTGCTATGGTGACTGGATTAAGTTGCCAAAAGCGATTGTACCAGGATACGACTGTTACAGTCGTATTCATCAAATAGTTAACCATTAGTTTCATTACTATAAACTCATCTGGTAATTCGAAACCCATTATTCAGCGAATGTAGACATATTTTAAAACTGACGGTTGTTATCTGAATGCATTTACTCCTTGTCAAAATCTCTACTTTTGCATCAACACTTATTGACCTCTAGAACACACAAATACTCCATTCGTCTTAGTGTTTTTCTAGGATTTCTGTTTTTGATTGTGTACTGAAATAATTGTGTGATAATATTCATGCAGCTCTTTTTAAACATCACGTTACTGTTTACACATTGATTGATATTCACAACCACAAATAATTACGTTCTTGAGGCAGTATACTTTTTCGATTTCAGATGTCTGGTACGAATTAGTTACTGGATTTAGTTAGACTTCTTCTTACTGTTTACTGAAGTAGTTACAATTTGACTGTTTTAAGTCTTATATTTGCTCTTTTCCTTTTAAATATATATTGTTTTTGATGTATGTGCGATTACTCTACGAATTAGTTGTATGCGTAATTGTAAAACCTGACGAGAATCTACTGAAAATACATATTCGCTCCAAATTCTGTTTTCTAACTATTGTATTCAACTTAAGCTTTGCGTTTTTAATTCTATGTTTTGTGTATTAGTGGTGAATGTCTATTACCAAACATTTAAGTTTGATTTGGCCGAAGTAGGTCCAGGCTGGAAAAAGGCCCGAGGTGGCCAGACTAAAACATAGCATAAATGTATGAAGTCTTTAACTGTTGGCTTGAGGCATGTGGGGCTATGCAGACTAGTCGATTGGGGTCCGCAGGACAAGAGAAACCAGCGGTTGGAGACTCTAGGTGATATGGCTTAGAACCGATCTCAGTGGTGCCTATTGTATCCCCACACACATTATCCTCATTTTAACGCTATACCGAATCTCACCATTTTCTCATTCTTCCTTTCTCTTTTCGTACTTTTTATTTCTTTTGGCTGAATTTTCTTATCTTCATCTTGCCCCCTCACTGTATTTTTACTTGATGAGGTGTGGCAACTGGGATCGTTACGCAGTAATGCCTGGTCTTATGTTCATATTGATGATGATTATGTACAGTTCTAATCACTTATTTTTCTTAATTATAAAAAGCAAGACATAGTTTCGATATCTTTCAGTGTTCAGTATTTGGATTTCATGAACACTGGGTTTCTAACAAACTCGAAGGTGCTTTCTATCATAAGGATCAGTTTAAGCACCGGTGAAGGTCAGAAATTATTGAGTAGTTGGTTGTTTCTTTTCTTGTTCTTCTAATCCATTTGAGGTCAGTGCCTTAATCTTATCAGGCAGAAATGGCTAATATGCGTAGTTGATCGGTGATGTTTGAGATGTAATTGGTCATCGTATATTATTATAGATGGCTGCTACCATAAGATCACTCAGTTGACCTTTTAGAAACTACAACTTTTATTTAGAAATTCAAGCAGTCGGTCTGAAAGTAATTAGTCTCTCATTTTATTTGTAACCATTAATTCTTCTCTTCACAGGATGAATATTCAGAGAATTATTGTACTGTTTTATTGTAGCTTAACTCTGAACGACTGGTTAGATTGAGTGAGCAATGATGAAAATGTGTAGTATTTTTTTTCTATGATATATATATTCATTAAGAGGAGTCTGTCAATGCAGTAAATAGTTTTCAGTTGACATTAATAGGCGTATAGGTTTCCAGCAAGTAGAGTAAATGCTCAATTAAAATTCCTGTCATTGTTAAATGTTTAGTATACGTAGCTAATAGTTTTATGAACTGTATTAGACATTTTTGACCCTTTTTAACAGTTTGTAATTTGCCCTTACATAAGTGATTTTTGGCAGGTGTGGGATGTGTAACCTATAGGTATGCTTTCAAAATTATATGTATCGAGATTGATATGAAAAGCCAAGATTCACTTTTGTCATATGAGTTAAAAGGTGTTCGTTGGTCTATCGACTGCTTCAAAGATTTACGAAGAAAATGAACTGACATTTGTACTACTTACTAGATATAAGTATCATGAGAAAGTAACACAAAGTAATATACTTGTCACTGATTGTAGATATCTAAAATTGAATTTCAGAAATAATAGGAGTTACTCATATGGTGCAATGAGACTGTTAGTGTTTGTCTGTTTCCACTTAAACAATGTAGTATGTCTGCGTCTTAGAGTGCAGGTGCTTCCTATCTTAGTTAAAGTGCCCTCAGAACAATACATCAAAATTTGTAAATCAATCTGAATATCAATCACTACACCAGTAGTGCTATTGTTTGTCAGTAAAAGCTGATGAATGCACTTAGCACAAACTGTTACTTGTATCAAGTAGTTTTGGGTGTCTCACTTAGTTTGATTTGGGATTTTTGAGTTAAAAGTATCATCAGATCTGTTTTGCTAACATTTTTTTATTGATTGCAATAAATATAAGTTTTTTACTAGGAAAATTTTAAATTATTACATTTACGATTGTATGAAACTTAAGTTATTCAGGAATGTTAAATTGGCAATTAAATAAGTAGTACAGCTGATTAGGCGTGTAATTTTGCTGTCATAAAGTTGTTGTAGGCCATATTATCACCCTAAGGTAATTTTTAACATATGTGTACATTCATAGTAAAGTGGTAGAATTCGTTGGATGTCAACATTTATCCTAAAGTTGTCAATTTACACTAAAAGTGTTACAGAACTTTAATTTAGTGCAGAAAGTGAGTTAGTTAAGTCGTGTATTTAATTTATCTATCTCTTCTTCTAAATGTACGCAAAATATAGATGGATCACATTATCCAGATTTAGCGGCACCAGCTTTTCCGTTGAATTACTGTGTAGTGTTCCATCAACTGGCTTTAACGAACTCATATAAGTTTAAGGATACTTGTAGCAGACTTCATTCTTGTTTACTATTAAAAGTCAGATAAGTAAAGTGGAAAGCGAAATAAAAACCTTATCGTTAGTGAATTCGCTGAAAAGCTGATGAATGACAAAATGAATTTAGAATCAATCTTAATCAACAATTAAATGCTAGATTTCGATAGAATATCGGCTTAGAGCAAAAGCTGATCAGCTCTTGTAAGAAATTAGTACTGCTGTGGTACGATATATATATATATATATATATATATATATATATATATATATATATATATATATATATATATATGCGTATATGTATATACCGGGTTATTAAACGGAGTTTTTAATCATTTCCAGAAATTTGAGTCAAAAGTATTGGTTTGAGATCATATCACAACTACTTGACACCATTAAATAATGTTTGAGATGTGAAACATTTAGCCCGTTAGGTGTACGTAAAAGTAATATTTGAACAGTGAATTATTCAGGGTAGCACTGAAAAATAAATGTTACACACTTGATCATCCTGTACATTGTTGACTAAAAAGAAAGTCGAATTTTAAGGGAGTTGTGGAGATTTGAAAATATTTCAACTTGTTATTCATCGTAGACTGACATCAGTTGGAGGAACAAAGGAAACCTGGGAGCACAGGACAGCTATTTCGTCCTAGTATGGGACTCTTCGGCAGTGCCCACTCACGCCCCCGCACCATCAGGGATCGAACCCGCGACCTTCAGGTTCCGCGGCCAGCGCGTGGATCATTGGACCATTGGATTCTGACCCAGTGGCTCACTGGTAACGCGCTGGCCGAGGAACCTGAAGGTTGCGGGTTCGATCCTTGGTAGTGCAGGAGCGTGGGTGCGCACTGCTGAAGAGTCCATACTAGGACGAAATAGCTGTCCTGTGCTCCCAGGTTTCCTTTGTTCCTCCAACTGATGTCAGTCTACGATGAATAACAACCTGTAAAAAGAAAGTTGTCCGCTGCTATTTTGTGAGTAATGAGATCGATTACTATTAGGTTATTTTTTTGAGTTCAGATGACTTGATATTACACGATGATCACGTTAACTGATTTTTTATGGGTGGAGCGGGGTATAAACACTGTTTCCTCGTAAATATTTGAATTTAGCCCGTTATTCGTTTAGAAAATTGCTTACATTATCTACGTTACTATGATCACCTTTTGTATCCAAGCTACAAGTAGTAAGCTTTTGGATTTTCCACATGTAATTGTTTGTACACGCTTATTATTGATCTTAATGTTGGTTTTTTAAGACAAGTAGGACAGAAGAGTTTCTATATCTGTCAAACGAATATTTATTTCCAGCTATTCAGTTGCTAACTACTGGTTCAAGTTACATAGGGAATTAAGTTCCCTCTAGTTAGGATTTGAAGTTATTGAGAATATTAATTGTTAAGATTTTCAGTGCTGATGAAAGCAATTTTGAGGCGCTGACATTTTTCGTCTTCGTTCAATGCCTAATTAGTTTAGCATTCTGTATAAATTTATTCATAACTCGTGATTATAGTTTTATTGATATGGTGAATTCCGTACCAGACTATAAAGTCGTCAACGTTTTCACTTTTTAGTTAGAAGCTATTTCAATTGAACGTTTCACATGAAGGTGAAGCTAGTGAGCTTATCTAAAGTAGCCTGATTTCATATTCTATCAACCTTGAAATGAGTAGGTTGTCCTTGGTAGTCACATAGTTAATTGATGAGAGATGTAAGAGAGTTTGGTATTCGATTGTCGACCTCTGACTCGTGACTTTTATTCTTGGTCACTGTATTGGTTACATCTATCATACTGCATCTTTTAATTACCTTTTGGCTTAAACGTAAACTTATGAAAGTTTCCTGGCAGATTTTTAGTTTCCTCTGTCCACTATTCCTAAATTTTCGCAATGGAGAAGATTGTCTCTGTTATGCATATGTATTGACAAAGGTTGTGATACATAATGTCGTTTTGGTGTTTAACAATACTTGTTTATTATTGTAGATGATGTTTAGTTTTCCCAGTGTTCACTTTCTATACAGTTGATACGAAAAAGGATATCGATATTGGTCTATTTGTTTTGCTTACTTTAACATTTTCCATTTTGAAAAGGAGTTGTTGGCTACTGAAGCATCTGATTTAGAGAATACACAATCAGTAAAGTGAAAACATACACATCATCACGTGCAACCCTATCTAATTATAAGTTTTCTTTTGCGATCGTTACTTCGATTCGCTTTATTTATGTTAACCATAATTTGCTTTTTTAAACGTTTGAGCTTATCTTGGTGTTATTTATTCATATATTACAGGATTGCAATAAGTTGGATTCCATTGACAGTTTGTCCAAGCAAATTCAGTCTGCAGCCGCTATCTTACTGCGCATAGATTTATTGGGAGATTGTGATATTTTGAAAGAATTTTCTGCCATCTTTTTCGAAGATCAATTTGATATTTTAAACCGTCTTCGATGTCTTCGACAATGGGCAGCTACAGTTCCGGATTTACTGAATAGTGATAATCTATATTACTGTGTCAATCAGAGTCGCAAAAGCGTCTTTGACTCATCAAAGAACTTTCTCGACTCACTTCTTTTGTGTTTATTCTCGAAAGATAGAATCACTTCTTACTGGGATTTTGTTCCCGTGAATGTTCGGTCCAATGTTATTCTATCTCTATCAGTTTGTCTTCAAGTAATAATTAATCTGCTAAGTGAGTCAACTTATTCTGTTGAATTGTTCGACACCAATTCACTGTTTACTGTTCTACTATCTGGTTCACGACCACTTATATTGCTGACGGATCACGGCATGAAATTATGGTTAAGTGATTGCCATCAGTTGAACCATGATCGTATCTCAAGTCATTATTGTTACCTGGTATACTTATTACTATTACGGATCCAGCAAACTGGAAGCAACATACCTGAATACATTCTTGAAAATATACATCATAAAATAATGAGAAATAAAAGTGTTATTTGGGCTTTGGTGATGGAGGCTTGTCAATCATCTGAAGAATCTGTTCCAGGAAAGCATCTTCATTTTCAGTTACTACTTACTCAACTTGCTACAGAATTAGTCAGACATGTTATTCCTCCAACAAATAACGTTGTTATCAATCTTGAGGAGAATTTTATAAAGTTATATATTGATATCACTGGTTTGGCGTTACTTTTATTATGTCCAGATTGGGCTGATGAATCATTATCACAATCACAATGCGAAGCACGAAAAATTCTGCCCACTAGTGGGAAATCATGCTTAGGTTATTGGTTTTCCTTTCTTTCATTGCTACATCCTTCTGAAATGAATTGTGTGATGGATATTCTGCTGATGGAATTCGCAGCGTTGTCACTGTCATGGACCAAAGAATTAATTGCCTGCTCCCCAGAAAATGAAAGATGGGTGAACGTTGCTCAAAATGATTCGGTTTCTTTACTTGTAAGTCACAAATGTTGCTGAATTTTGAGTTTAATTTTTCAAGAACACTTGTCCTCGCTAAGTGACGATATCCAACTAACCAGTAGAAACTAAGAAGCTTTCGGTTGTTGTTTTGTCCCATTTGGTTCTGCTTCACTAGTGATCTCTACTTGATGTAATCGAATCCCGGAATCTTCAAGTCTGGTTGCATCAACGTTACCGATGAGTTATTTGGTAGAATTTTGTCAACCGTCCTTCATCGATTTCAGTTAATTAATGAATATTTATTTACACCTATGATTACATAAGAAAAGCTTTCTGATGGGTTTTATTGGCAGCCAAAGTAATAGTTTCCAGTTTATATATATATATATATATATATATATATATATATATATATATATATATATATATATATATAATACCATCGGAAGAGCAGATGTGTGGGTCAATCTTTGAAGCTACTAACCTTTGGTTTCAGCTGTTCAGAAAAGTGGATTGGCTACCTGACTAGGTTCTACGAGATGCTAGAAATCACTGTTTGGAGACCCTAGGTAGTATAACTAAAATTCGATCTCAGTGATACAAAATATTTTAACCTTATCTTCAAGATCTTGAGTATACTACAGCTATATACTTGTAACTTCAGTCAACCCGCATATTGTTCACCGTTGTGAAGCGTAACAACTTGAAACAGTACGGTTTCTTATATAAGGATCTTGGTCATTCCATCTATTTGTCTAAGAAATGTATTTTAATGAAAGTTTGATCGAATTGATAAGTAAGGAATCTGAAGGTGTAAATCTGGGAAATATTATTTATCAACTGTGTAGCTAATTGATCCAACTTTTACTTTTTCCAGCTATATATGAAGTTACTGGTAAACTTGATAACGGATAAGTCTTAACGAACAACCCATTTTATTGTTAAAGTAGTGTTGCATCTGATTATTTTTACCTATCATGTTAATCTGTTATCTTTGATAGGTCTGTTTATTTATTGCCTCTGCTGACTGGCTTTACTTTCATAACCTTATGTTGTACCTCTATTCTCACGTGCAAATTAGTCACTACAATACTTTCACGCTTCTCTGTAAGATGGCTAGTGAATTCGTTGCAAAGAAATTTCCTCTTTAAAGTGTACGTTCTATGATTATGCGGACAAATGGAGGTTAGTTAGATGTGACTGGATCAAAAAAAGTTAATAACATATTGCTTTTGTTCAGAAAGATGAGGAGCATCCAAGTCACTATTTACAAATGTCATTATTAACGTAGTGTTTCCAATAGCTCACTTGTTTGCTGCACAGTTTGCTGTCACCTGGCAGACTGAAGGACCTGCTATTAGATTACTGCTTATTAGCGAAACAGTTGTTCTGTTGAAAACCCTTTTAGAATACCGGTGACAGTTATTTTGAAGATTTCTAACGCAAGTGCACAATATACTCCACATGCGAAACATTTTCTCAGTTTTTATTTGTATTGGGTCATTTTGTGACATTTCGGAGTGAAGTAGCTGAACTCATAAAACCCCTTATTTATCTAGGTGAATGCATCACTTCGAAATTGGTAGGGCCTGTACCTTCACTCACCCTTAGTGGTAAACTATTAGTTGTTGGAACTGTTATGTACGTGAGTAGTTGTTGTGTTGGTCGAGGTGTGACTGATAGAATTTCCAGCCACATAGCTAGAGTGGCATACGCGAGTTGAAGCTTCCTTTGGTGCCATCTTGATGTTAACCCAACTGTAAAAGATTCAGCATACTACGTGTCTTTGCGAGCAGTTCTACTCTATGCCTGTGACACGTCTCTCTGAGCTGAGGAAGTCCTGCGACTCTACGTTTTTGATCGCTGTTGTCTTCATGGGATTGCTCGCATCCTATATAAACACGATGTAAGTAATTTTGAGGTGAGGCAGTGTATGTTCAAATGTGATAAGAGTCGCTGTTCATTGAATGAGATCATCTTGAAATATTAGGTTTTCTTGCTGGGACAAGTGTTACGAATGTTGTTTGAGCGTCTATCATACCACGCACTGTTTACTTGTCGTAGGAATGGTTGGGAGAAGTGAAGAGATGGTCAGTGTATGACGTGGCACCGTGGAATGAAGGAGAGATGTCTTGGGTTAGCGTCTGTAGGTGCCTCTCAACTCGTTGGATAGAGTCGAAGAGGTTACGCAACTTGGTGATATGTGACGATAGGAGATATGATTCAGAATGGGAACCGGTGGTGACCAGGCTACAGTTTGTTGTTTCTTCTATTACTGTAAAGTAAGGGGAAAGTAGTTAATGGTTCTTTAGGTATAATTTTGTGTGTTTCTTTAATCACCTATTTGTTTTTCTTGTCTTTCTGTATCAAATTTTGTCGTTTTAGTGTGTCGTTCTATTATTCTGTATGATGTATCTTTTGGTGTCCATTTTGTACCAAATTTGTGTTCTAAATAAAGTAATCAGTAATAACATCACGTCCACTATACTAAACAGTAATATGAAATATCCATTTGTTAAATAATAACTTTCATCGCTACTAGTACCGAGATTTTCGCTTGCTAATGAAAATAATGGGGATATATGATTTCAGTTAGCTTAAATTCGTGTCTCGTATGTTAAGGGTCATATGACTCAGTGGTGTGATCAAATTCTGGTTAGAACTAAGAGTGACAGAGTAACGTTCGTCGGGTTGCATCCAGTATGAAAGTAGTGAAGCAAGAAAAAAGGGGAACCAAAGTTTTCCCTCAACATATCTCTCTGTTATTCTGCTGCACTTTCTGATGGTTATTCTCATATTATTTTGTGCTGTGAGTCACTTGTTACTGATGCGCTGTATCATACTTGTTTTGTTTACCTTTTATGATTTTTGATTCTGTATTTATGCACAACTTCCTGACCACTCCCATATAATCTAAATCACTATCGGTCTATATTCTTTTAGGACAGAAATTACCCATGTGCTCGATTACGTGGTTTGGTGCATATACTGGCTAGTATCTCATTTTCCAATCTGTCAACTGAAAAAGTTGTACCGTCAAATGAATCTGGGTGTTTCAGAAGTGAAGACTTACCTTGTGAACTTCAGTCACCTACATCACCAAAGTTTTCATTTATTACTCATCAAGAAAATGAAAAGTTATGTGAATCAGATAAGAAAATGCTTATCACTCAAGATCGTGCTGATCGGTTATGTAAACTCTTATGCAATTTGTTAGTTACATTACATTTCGCAACTGTTAAACTGGAGAAATTTCACAGTATATCCGATTCAGTGGACAGTAGTTTACCGCTTCGTAGTGAATGTAGTAAGGAAAATGACTTCAAACTTTACGTTTCAAGATTGGCTAAAAAGATGGTATATTATTTTGTTGATTTTATCCCATAGTTTTATTTTTATCATTTTGTATAAAATGTCGCTTTTCTCTTTGCGATAGGCATGAACTTAAGAATAGATGATAACCTTTTATGGTGTATGCGATCATACTAAATATGCCTACCGTATTCATAGTGAAATTCTAGTTGATAGACACGATGTAAATTTTCTTAATTGTTAGCCTCGTTTGAAGCTTCGATACTACTTGATGTAAGTGAAGTGATGTAAGTAATCGTGAAGCTTTCATCGTCTTTCTAGATGACATCATCAGCACTCATTTCAATGCACGTGGATAATTATGGACATGAATTCCGTTTCGATAATGTAGAAATTTTAGACAGAGGAAACACAAAAAATATCACAGAATTCCTAGAAGCGTCACATTCAGGCTAATCAGCAATCAATAGATGCATAGACATAGATCCAATCTATCAACCAATAAAAAAAATGATAAGCGACTGAAAGGTCAGAGGTCAAGCAGAGGAACAGCCAACAAGATAGTCTATACAGTCAATGACACAACAATCAAAGGGAACAACCAATCACAGACCATTTGGTCAATGCAAGCTACTAAATCACTCACTAGGAGATATTGACAGCTCACTTCATGCTGAAGTTAGTGCTGATGATTTCGTCTGGCAAGACGATATAAGCTTCATGATTAAACAACTCATCTCAGAGAACACAATACAACCAAGAATATTTCATGCATTATATAATCTTCTAACACTCGTGTATATCGACGTTTTTGGAATCACAGAAAGAATCTCTTTCTATCTGTCTATTAATGTTTCCAAAAAGTTGATAGATTTTTTCCAGTATTCGTTTTTAGTTAGTGTTCAATTTAAGTATCAGGATAGCAATATTTTTTGCTGTCATATAGCATACTTTGTTAAATAATTGTATTAGTATCTCAATGACTATTAGTCAGTTTTCGATGAAAATAACATGCGATAGTTTCGACTGGTGATTTATTCACTCATTCATTTCCCTTACTTCTTTTCTTTAATTAGATTCTGGTGCCTAAAACCTCCGTTTTCTCATTATTACAAGCTGTTTGTTTCAAACAAGATATAATAAGATGCATGGTTGCATTGATTACACAATATCCTCATCTATCACTTTCACTAGTGCTACATAAATTCAATTTCAGTGAATTTTCAACTGATGAAACATTGGGTAATCCAGTTTCCTCTTTCTCACCGTCGTTATCTTCAACAGAATCCTTTTTATCGGTATTCGAAGTGATTTTAGACTCAACCAACAGAGATCCATTGAATCCATTTTGCGTTGAATGGGCTATTCTCTTAATTCGTTTAATTTTGAATTCAAACCACTCACATAGTCCGCAGGTGAAATCTCTTCTGTCGTCAACGTTGAATAGATTGAAAGTTATACCATCGGAAAATCAATCGATAAGTGACAAATAACTTCTTTTGTTTGCGCATACATATGTAAATATAATTCTTAAATACATACAGTCTCATAAATTGAGGACCTTTTTCTCGTTTGTCTGTGTGCAAGCTTGTTTTAACATCATTATGTTTGTCGCCGAAAGTTATCCTCATCATGAATCTTAATCAGAAATGAGGACTAAACTATCCTGTTGTGTTATTCATGTGCACTCTTTTTATCGCTTATGGCCGTTATCAGATTTGTGATGCATACTTTTGTCTCATTCTCGCATTTTTCCCTTCAACAGTTGTACTGAGGTCTCATTGCTTGCAGTAGCGTAATATATCACTCATGGGGATTGGTTTTCTTCAAAGGTTATGTGCTTTGAAGTTTCGTTAGCGATTGGATTGGTTTTAAGGGGTAGGGTTGCTAGCCCTATGCCCAACCCTCCCTTTTTATCCGGACTTAGAATCGGCTAGTAACTAGTGAACTAGTTAACTAGGTGAGGGGAGCTTCTTTATGGTTTAGAAACTTGGCGCGTTACGAAAAGCATTTACAACAAACTACAGACATTCATCAACAGCTGTCACCTACGTTAGTTCACTCGATACTGAAGATCAGATGGACGGCCAGAAAGAATAAGTAGCAAGGAACTCACTCTGGTTGGCAACTAACCAACCAACAACCCATCGCCAAACAAATATGCAGAAGAAAGTAGAGATGGATTGGACATACACTGAGAAGACAATTCGGGGACATCACACGCCAGTGCAGACCATCGAATGGAACCCGCATGGAAAACGACGAGTTGGGTGTCCCAGCTTAGGGTGACACCGAGGAGATGGTGTGAGGAAGAAATGACAGCTTGTGGGCAGTGATGGAGCCAGTTTCAAAAGACTAGAGAAAAGAGAGTGAAATGAAGACGTGGTACTGAAGCCCTATGTTCCACTAGGAAAGCAAGGGGAAAATGAAATTATTATTATTATTAATCCCTTGGGTTCCTAGTGGAACATAGGGCTTCAGTAGCACGCCTCCAGTGACCTCTGTTCTCTGAGATCGTTTGGACCTGGTCCCACGACAGCCCACAAGCTCTCATTTCCTCCTCGCACGACCTCCTCCATGTCACCCTCGACACCGACGTCCAACTCGTCGCTTCCCATGGGGATTCCACTCGAGTAACTGGCCTGACGCGTGATGTCCTCAGTCGGCCTTCTCAGTGCATGGCCAATCCATCTCCACTTCTTCCTGCATATTTGTTGCGTGATAGGTTCTTGGTTGGTTCGTTCCCAGAGTTCCTTGTTGCTTATTCTTTCTGGCAATCCATCTGATCTTCAGTAGCGAGCGTAAGCAGTTGTTGATGAAAAGGGGGAAATGAAATAAATATCATAAAAAGATTGTGTAATTGCAACTATGAGCTCACAAAAGTTGGAGATATGGACGACTGGATTTTGATTCAGTGGCTCAATGGTAACGTGCTGGCCACGGGACCTTAAGGTCGTCGAGCCGATCCCTGGTAGTGCAGGGTCGTGGATGCGCACTGCTGAAGAGTCTCATACTAGGACGAAACAGCTGTCCAGCACCCCCAAGTTTCCTTTGTTCCTCCAATTGATGCCAGTCTACGATGAATAACAACTTGAAGTGTTTCAGTAAATTTAATTATCTGGTATTTTATAATGCTTTGTGAAGCGCACATCACTGAAACTAAACAGCAAGCATGACACTAAAACATTTTCCAACCAAGGGCCCATCTCAGAGAACAAGTTATTTTGGATATCGATATCCTGAGCTATAAACATTTGCCACAATACTAGATCTTGTTTAGGATAGAAGTAGATTAGAAGACAGCTGATTATCACTTTACGAATTGGAACGGTTTAATTTGTGTAGTGAACGCTATTAATGTTTAAAAAAAAAGAAAACTGACATCAATATTTAATTTTTCCTAATGATATAAGTTCAAATCTGTACCAGTGGTGTAGATATAAATAATTCAGGGCGATTTAAATAATGTGTGTTCAGGTCGACTTTCGGTAGACTTATTACGCGAGTATGAAGAGCTTGATATTTTGTTCTTTGTTAAAGGCATGTAGGTTCTTAGGATAGTAAAGGTAAATAGATTGATTAGAACTAAAACAGTGTGGCTGTAATAGAATATAACTTAAACTCCTTGATACATAAGACTATCAGAAAAGAGTTACCGAGATAAAGGAACCCAAGGCTTTCACAATTTCTATTTCACGATTCAGATTTCTCTTCATTTTACCAGAAATGTAGCTGATATTCAATGGTTTCCAAAAAAGTTATCTGAAGTGCAGGTACAGTATGTCACATGTTCAATGAAAAGAAATAGTTGTATGAATTGACATTTAGAAACTATTTTACTTCTGAACATAAACCTATCCTACTCGTAACTGACTTAGTTATGGCCAGTAGTGAAATCCAGGAGGCCCGTTTCGTTCTATGTAGAACTCGTCAGCTGAGTGTACTTGAACTCCAGTGGGTGATGCTGCCACTGAGACTCTAATCTCATACCCATCGCTTCAAACGTCGAGGTGTTGTCCACTAGGCCACTGAGGCACAATAGCCACCTCTTGTGCAACGGGTATTAGTTATTATCATTTATTCATACTTGTGATTCTCTGTTGTTACACTGGATCGAATTTATTGACTTCTGTTGGCATAACCAAGTCTATATTCAGGCAATTTTAAACCATCTGCATAAGAGCTCATATGCCAGCGGATCTCGATCAATTTGATTCTGCATGATAACGTAAAATTACGAGTATCATCAAGTAGTTACCTCATTTATGAAGATGAAATATCGTACATTATTACTATCATTATTTTATAAAGGTAATCCATTGGTGCGTAACTTACCATTGGCAATCAGACTACACATTCTTACAAGCCATTTGAGCAATCAAGACCACGCCGGTTAACACAGATTCCCTTGTTAATAATAAGTTTTATTTACATTTGATAAAAAATTGAATGTCACAGTTTTAGAAATTTAAAATCCAGATAGGAAATATAATATTGATTGGTTATATGTAATTGTAACAACAAGGTTTTTCACTTTGAAACACATCCCTAAGGAGTCTTAAATTAGAAACAAGTAGCTATAAAGCGTTTCATTGTTTGGTATTGTTATCCAGTTGATGTCATTCCTTGTGAAAAATTCTGATCGATAAATTAAAAAAGCTCACTAGAAGGCGAGAACAAAGTTAACCTTTGTTAGAAATGGTTCAACTCAGTATTATAATAAGGTCTTATGATAACCGAAATCTTGTTGATATGATACAGTTCTAGTTGGTTAGTTGAATTACAAGTAGGATGAAATTTGTCTGGGCATAAGTCAACGGCAGAATTATTATTATTATTATTTATCCTTTGGGTTTCTAGTGGAACATAGGGCTTCAGTAGCACGTCTACATTTCCCTCTATCCTCTGCAGTCTTCAAACCTCACTCCACGACTGCCTATAAGCTTTCAATTCTTCCTCAAACTATCTCCACGTCACCCTCGGTCGCCCAACTCGTCGTTTCCCCCTTTGGATTCCGTCATGATCCTGGAGGAGATTGGTTCCCACTGCATGAGAGCCTTTGGTGCTCTTAGGGACATCATGATAGCCGCTCCAAAACTTAGTGTCCTCGTGGTTGTCATCTGGGTGACCGGAGTAAATTATTAACTCTCCGGTTGACAGTTTGGAGAATTCACTTCCATTCCATCTGCAGATTCCTAGCCTAGCACCTTCTCACCTCTTTTGCAATCTGGGCAGCCTTGCTAGGTTCAAACATTGTTCGGACATTCCATGTCCCCATGCTTACTTTCGCTTTCATAGAGAGGACACATCGGCCGATTGGCTTCTCGAAGACTTTCACCAACTGGCATCATTTCGCCTCCCCGATTCCAGCGAGGAATAAGTTTATTTTTGTTTTTTATAATTTCTTTGTGCTTTGAAGTTTCTTTACCCGGGCTTAGGACAGGCTAGTAACCAGTGAACTCGTTAACCAGTTGGCAGAATAGTTACTCAATTTAGAGGCCACAGAGGTTGAAAACTCACTTTTTAAATAAAATGTCTTTATAAACCAAGATTATGGTAGTTGCTAAAGAATTTGATTTGCTTGTACATTATCATACTAGAGACTCATGATCAGTAGATATATCGAATTATAAAGTGTATAAAAATGCAACTCAACAGTTGTATTCGTTTTCCCATACTGAATTTGTATTGCTTGTTAGTGAAGTGGTTTTAAACTTATAATTCAGTAGTTGACAACTGAATGCATCAACAGATATCATGAAGTCCTGAGTGAATCAATCAGTTATCATAGTTATGACCTCAGTACAGCTTATCTCATATGAATTGTGAATCCCTTGAACACTTCCTTGGCGAATAACCAACAAACACTGTAAACATTTTGGTGTTCTGCAATTCACATTCTGACAGCTGTTTACAACCGTCCTTTTATTTATTGTTTATCTATCAGATTTACGCATTTCATTGAACTATTTTGTATTCAACATGATTGTTTTTTGTAGTTCTTACTTATACCATAAACTGGCTTTGTATGCAGTGGGTCCCGGGAAATTCTTCACAAAACATAAAATGAAAAAGATATAAATGTATGTCGAAAAAAAGTTATATATAATAACAGTAATAATAGTGGTAGTGGGAAGAGCACAAATAAGAACAACATCAATGCTGAGCTTGTTTCTCTTTACTTCTCCTGGAGTTCATCCTACGGTTTAAGTGTAAGACGAAAGAATGTCCAGCCATACCTGATAACATTATATCCCACAATTGTGTAGTCTCTGGATTCCTGTCCAAGGTGATCGGAAACACAACACAACTATCCTTTATTCCGCCTATCTATTTTATAAGTTATTCACCTATCCAGTTATCCCAGTAGTACCACCATAGATAAACAGTACTCAATACAGAAATTTCTGAATTGGCATATTTAAAATATGTAAGATTTTACCGATATAATTCTAGTAGGTTGAGCAAGGTAAAACAATCAGATTTCATATCAGAGCGTGTTATTTCTCTTTGTTAATTAACTTGAACTGAATTGACCGAACTCTCTTGGTGTATGAGCTTATTGTGTGGGTCCTTTGATTTACCCGATGACTTCATTTTTGGCATATTAAGGATAGGTTCGATTGCTACCCACTATCCATCCTTCATATCAAAATCAGGTTCTATTCTTATCAAGTCAGTTTTTCATTAGTTTTCAGAATAAATATTCGTTTTTCTTCTCCTTTTTAGGCAGTATACCATTACTTGCCATTAGTTCCTTATTGATTGAAGATAAAGTTTTCATATGTCCATCATTTGGAGCTATGCTTTACAGAAAATGTTTTGTGTTAAATATTTCTTCTAAAATAATCTCTGCATACAATCGAAGTATCTGCTTTCAATCCAATGATCTTAATAAACGATTATGTCATTCAGTGAATCTTACTGAGTCCACTCTCCTTTCCTCTACAATTTCACACGAATTATTATCAACATGGATTAATAGTAAATATATTCCTAATGATTTGTTGCAACAGGAGTTTTCTGATGTCTTTGCACAGAACAATTTAAAAAATTTACTGATATTATGTCAAGATGAAGTATCTGTAGGTCGTTGGCGTAGAATTGAATCCTCCCTTTCTGATAAAATATATCATCATAAAAATAATTCTTATTCATTACTGGATAGTTTATTCTTAGATTTATATCAAATGGAGTTGACTGTTGATGCAATAACTGGAGTACAGATGATCGGACATGTGTGTAGGAGTAAATTTGGTGAACAAAGTAAGCGTATTTTATTGTTCTTGTTTTTATCAATCAAACGCTTGCTGTTCTTTTTTGTCGTTAACATGATTCTTTAGTTGTACTTCTTTACTGGAGTACTCACGAGTGTGTGACAGTCTTGGATAACCCATATGTCGAAGGAAGTTACATCCAATGGTGTTCATCAGCGACATTCCTACTCTCCATTTTAATTCATTTTTATGATAGATGTATACTTATGAAAGTTAAACTATTATTTCGGCTTCACTCCTCATTGGAGAAATCTTAATCACTTAAAGTACATAGACTCCACAATCCCGTTATGTACAGATAGTGGCAGTTAACTGAGGTTCCTGAACCGTTTGAGAATGTTTGACATGTATTTCTTGCCTTATTAGTGCAAATTAGACACTGTCTATTGAAAATTATGATTGTCCAACAGTCATGGATTGATAATATTATATTGTTATTATTTGTCTCTTAGGTTCCTAGTGGAACATAAGGCTTCAGCACCACGTCTTCATTTCACTCTCTTTTCTCTAGTCTTTTGAAACTGGCTCCATCACTGCCCACAAGCTGTCATTTCTTCCTCACACCATCTCCTCGGTGTCACCCTAAGCTGGGACACCCAACTCGTCGTTTTCCATGCGGGTTCCATTCGATGGTCTGCACTGGCGTGTGATGTCCCCGAATTGTCTTCTCAGTGTATGTCCAATCCATCTCTACTTTCTTCTGCATATTTGTTTGGCGATGGGTTGTTGGTTGGTTAGTTGCCAACCAGAGTGAGTTCCTTGCTACTTATTCTTTCTGGCCGTCCATCTGATCTTCAGTATCGAGTGAACTAACGTAGGTGACAGCTGTTGATGAATGTCTGTAGTTTGTTGTAAATGCTTTTCGTAACGCGCCAAGTTTCTAAACCATAAAGAAGCTCCCCTCACCTAGTTAACTAGTTCACTAGTTACTAGCCGATTCTAAGTCCGGATAAAAAGGGAGGGTTGGGCATAGGGCTAGCAACCCTACCCCTTAAAACCAATCCAATCGCTAACGAAACTTCAAAGCACATAACCTTTGAAGAAAACCAATCCCCATGAGTGATATATTACGCTACTGCAAGCAATGAGACCTCAGTACAACTGTTGAAGGGAAAAATGCGAGAATGAGACAAAAGTATGCATCACAAATCTGATAACGGCCATAAGCGATAAAAAGAGTGCACATGAATAACACAACAGGATAGTTTAGTCCTCATTTCTGATTAAGATTCATGATGAGGATAACTTTCGGCGACAAACATAATGATGTTAAAGCAAGTTTCTTAACCATCGCATAGAAGCACCGACTGAACTGAACTAGTGTTCTTTATGCCGCATTGAGTGCAGTAGATCTCAACACTGTTTCCAGATTCATGAATGCCTGTCATACTGTCTTTCCAATCTTGGCTTTGACATCCTCGTCTATACCTATGTTGCCTGTGGTTGAAACGATGCTGCCTAGGTAGGTGAACGAGACTACTTCCTTCAGATTCCTCTCACTGATGTTGATTGTTGTTGTTGTTGGTTGTGTATGTTCACCACCTCTGTCTTCTCTACGCTCACCTGAAGGAGGTTTTGTCTTCGTTGACTTGCCCTGCCGCTTTCTGTCAACTTGTCGGTTTTAGCCTGTAGATCTTCGAGTTTGTGTGATATTGGACATGTCATCATCGTTGGTGAAATCCAAGTCTTCTAGGGTGTTTTCATCGATCAAACAGCGTATGGCCATCTTCTCATAGCTCCTCACGATTTGTTGCGTGATCTAGCCGAGTTGACCACAATCAGGAAGATGATCGGTGATAGTGGGTGGCAACCTTGTCTTACTCCTGTTTTCCCTTCACTTCGAAGGCATCACTGAGCTTTCTACTGTGAATCACTTGGCATGCAGTGTCTTCATATACCTGCTGTTGAATGAAGTTGATAAAGGTTTGTGTCACTAAAATCGTAGTGTTGAATCAGCTGCCTGCCAAATTACTTCTCGGTCGAGGATATCGAAGGCCTTATCAAAATCGATGAAGTTGAGGTGCAGGTTCAGTCGACTGTCATTTTCTGCTCTGTTTTATGATGGTGCGTAGCGTTGCAATTACATCCTCACGTGGCTTGTTCTTCCTGAATCCAGCCAGCCTGTTCCGGTCGTAATTTTGAATCCAGAGCGTTTTTAAGTCTTTCCAGGATAATGTGGCCCAATTTTTTGCTTGGGGTGGACAGGAGTGGAGCCTGATTCTTCGCCAGTTTTCGCAGACTTAGGTCTCATTTCTTTGGGACTTTGAGAAGGTAACCCTTCTTCCAGTCGGCAAGTACCTTTACTTCCTTCCATCCATGCAAATCTTCTGCAATAGTTGTGTGGTCATGTCCGCTGTTTTCTCTTCGTCTGTTTTCAGTGCTTCTGGAGGAATGACATCTGGTTCTCCAGTAGCTTTATGGCGTTCAGGATTAATAATAGATTGAGTGTAATTAAAATGCTCAAGTCGTTTATTTTGGTCATTAACAAACTGATACAATGAACATTCTCCTCAGTTTTGCAAATCATTTGGCAACGGTTGTGCACTTTGGTGTGTTTAAATAAGTCGCAGCAAAAAAGTGGTGTTATGTAATAACTTTGAACTGTTCTGTTACATTCCATCAAACACAAGTGATATGTTTATAGTGTTCACTACTAAATAGACGATCGAATAAACTTTAGAAAGAAAATATCATTTGGATACTGTTTTGTAGATCGCTAGACCACTTTTCAGACGAACTTCCTGTTACAAACCATATTCTGCTTAGTATTCCGGTTGGCATTCAATCCTTATAAACATTAAGTGCTAAGATACTAAACCATAGTACTTGCACTGCGTAACAGTACAAAAACTAACACATTTTCTCGAACTTCGTATAGTTACTCCATGTACACTTCATTAGAGGGAATTATCGATATAATAACTAATGTAAGTGATTCTTTTCATATCATAAAGATATTATTATTATTTCTCCCTTGGGTTCCTAGTGGTACATAGGGCTTCAGTAGCACGTCTACAATGCACACTGTTCCTTGAAATCTTTTGAACTTGGCACCACTACTGCCCACAAGCTCTCATTTCTCGCTCATGCGATCTCCTCCATATCACTCTCGTACACCCAACTCGTCGTTTCCCATCTGGATTCCACTCGACGGCCTAGCCTCGCGCATGATGTCCCCAGTCGGCCTTCTCAGTGCTTGCCCAATCCATCTACACTTCCCTCTGCATATTTGTTGGGTGATGGGTTCTTGGTTGGTTGCCGACCAAAGTGAGTTCCTTATTGCTTATTCTCTCTGGCCATCCTAGCTTCAGTAACGAGCCAGCGTAGGCAGTTGTTGATGAATGTCTGTAGTTTGTTGGAAATCCCTTTCGTAACGCGCCAAGTCTCTGAACCATACAGAAGCACTGACTTGACTGGGTTGGTGTTGAAAATCCGTATCTTGTTCCACATACTGAGTTCAGAAGATCTCCACACTGGTTTCAGACTAATGAACGCCTGTCTTGCTGTCTTTCCGATCCTGGCCGGCTTTGAAGTCCTCGTCTGTGCCGCCGAGTGTAGTTGAAAGAGTGCTGCCTAGGTAGTTGAAAGAGGCTACTTCCTTCAAGTTTCTCCCGTTGATGGTGATTGGAGCTTGTTGTTGTTGTTGTTGTTGTTGTTGGTAGTGGTGTTGGTTGGTTATCCTCATTACCTCTGTCTTCTCTACGTCCACTTGAATTGCCGTCTTCGCTGCCCTGTCCTGTCCTGCCCTGCCTCTTCTGTCTACTTGTTAGTCTTCGCCTGTAGATCTTCAAGTTTGTGTGACACTAGACACAAGTCATCATTGGCGAAATCCAAACCTTCTCGGATCTTTTCCCCGGTCCAGCCAGCGTATCCCCCTCTTCTCGCTCCTCACCGTTTGTTGTATGATCCAGTACACTACAATCAGGAAGGTCATGGGTACCTTTACTTCCTTCCACACCGTCTGCGATTGAGGTGTGGGCGTATCCGGCGTTGTCCCTGTGTCTGCTCTCAGTGCTCCTGGCGGGATTCCATCTGGTCCTGCTGCTTTCCCGAATTTCAGTAGCTTTATGGAGCTCAGGACTTCTATTTTTGTCTGAGGATTCGTGTTCACTTGTAGTTCTGTGGCTGGGCTGCAGGTGGTATTTCTGGACGAAGTGCAGGTGGTGGTGGTGGTCGATTGAAGAGCTTCTTGAAGTGGTCAGCCCATCGTTTCCTTTGTTTCTCCTCTTTGTCGGTAACTGAGTTTCTTCCACTATCTTTCATTGGTTTCATCTGTGTTGATCTCTTCCCTCCCTCCCAGATAGTAACCTGGTTATTTGATACAATGTTGTCAGGTCTCTGTCTGTCCTACCAGCCTCCAGTCTGTTCTGCTTCACTTGCCAGTTTGTCGTGGAAGTTTCTTTTGTCTTTGCGCACACTCTTCTCTTCGTGTATTGTCCGTTCCTAGTTTGGCATTCATGTAGCCCATTAGGATTTTGATATCGCCAACTGAGGTCTTGTCCAGTGTTGATTGCAGTTGTCTGTAGAATACCTCCTTTTTCTCTTGCTCTGCATTATTTGTAGGTGCGTAGCGTAGCACTGAATGATTGTGACCTTCCTTCCTTCCTTTTTAATTTAACCTTGCTGTCATGATCCTGGAGGCGTTTGGTCGTCACTACATCACAGTGAGCCTTCGATGCTGTTGGGACGGGGACATCATGATAGCCACTCCATTATTGAGTGTGCTCGTGTTTGTCGTCAGGGTGACAGTATTGGAGTAGATTATTGACTCTCCAGTTAATAGTTGAGATAGTCCATTTCCAGTCCATCTGCTCTAGCACTTCTATGCTATACCTGCTCATATCTTTTGCAATCTGGGTAGCCTTGCTAGCTTCACAGATTGTGCTGAGATTCCATATCCTTATGCTTATATTTAGTTTCATCGAGGGAGAGAAGACACATCGGGCAATTGCCTCCCCGAAGGCTTTCACCAACCGGCGTCCTTTCGGCTCTCCGATTCCAGCGAGGAATAATTTTGTTTTTATTTTTTATATTTTGTTTGTGCTTTGAAGTCTCTATAGCGGTTGGATTTGTTTTCCGGGGTAGGGTTGCTAGCCCTACGCCCAACCTTCCCTGTATACCCGGGCTTAGGACCGGCTAGTAACTAGTGAACTAGTTAAACAGGTGAGGTTTGTAATAAGGATAGAAGATTGAAAATGTTTCCAGAGTGGTCGTTCTTTATATACTATACCATAGGCCTAGCTTGTCAAATTCAAAAAAATACTTCGAGAGGATGTAATCCAATGAAATTCCCATGTTTTGAAATCCCGCTTTTGTCGGCCATTAGTACGTGTATCAAAATTGCTACTTATTTTACCGAATGACCACACTATGGCTTTGCGTAAACTGATTGGTCTTCAGTGTAGTTTATGCAAAAATAAGTACCATCAAACCTGTGTTATATTTTGGTACTGACGTGCAAACTACACCCTGTCCCTAAGAATATTTTAGGAGGGTTAATCCATGGTGACATAGTTATTCAATAAGGATGACTGTTAAGAACGCTACAGTGTGGAAAGTTGAGTGATTTAGCAATGATAACGTTGACTTTCAAACTGTTGAATTACAGTGGCTGGAATTCACATCTGAGCTTTTGGTGAACAGTCTCCCCATCTTAATACATCGAATTATACAACGGGCATATTCTACATTCTGTAGACACAAGGGAATATGGGTGTTCAGTGAGTTCCATTTTGGAGGTTTTTTTTAATTACTTTTTACTGTTTTAGTTAACTGCTTATTGCTTATCGATAATATTGACCTTAGTAGCACCAACATAGTCATATGTTAGCTTTAATGTATCGTTAGGGAAGTAAGTGATCTTATAATATACCCTGTGCATATGAAATCAAGTTGTTGTACAGAGTAATAATAATTATGGCTGACGGAATTTCTCCTTATTCCTCTCAGTGCTTCTTCTATCGTTGGTTACCTTTCAGTAAAATGTAAAAGCACCATACAGAGTATTTAACAATTGTACTTAGTCTCATTCAACGAAAATATCATTTTTTAGAATGCATATCATAGATACCTTTTCTCATATCTCGGGAATTTCAATCAAATATGAAAAAATAATAACTTCTCATGAATAGTATTAGTAATCTGTACTAGCAGTCTTTTTGTTATGACATATGTCTTTCAAAAGAGAGTACAAAATTAAAGAAATACCTTCCTGAATAAGATTTCACAATTAAATATGAATGGGGGATTCTAAACTTGACTATTCAGTCCTTGTACTTCTAAAACCTGAGCTAAGTAACTGACTTTTGTGGATCGTTTCTGTACTAAGTTTCAGTACTATTTGTTATGGCTTTATAGAATGACAGCTGCTTTCCGTTAATGCCACTCCTTTGTCATGGTTTGAGGTATCATGTGACTTGGAAGCTTCAACCTTCATTGTTCACGACAGAAACCGATGACTATCAAGGTTTAGTTTTCTTTTGTATGTCTATCTGGCATGAATTAGAAGAAAAAGTGACTGTTGGGTAAAAGCCTGTTTGAATACATCTCTGAAGCAGTACTATAAGAGTATACTCTTATTTCACTACCACTGTTAGCATGTTATTTAACTGTACTTTTTGTTGAAACTTGCATGGTGTCGATTGAGTTTAGGGACTGTTCTAGTAACTGCCCAGATAGCCAATCAGGTTTCGGGATTTCGGCCGTCAAGGGATTTCTTCACAAAAAAGTAAATTTAATTTGTGATTTCAGTTGTTTAGCTTAGGATCACTCCTAAAAGTCACTCTATAATGTTTGATGTTACAAATTAAAGTATTATAAGTAAGAAAAACAATCGGTTATTGGTGCCTGATCTTGTTTTAGTGAATAATTTATGATATGATCAGGTTACTCACGTGTTTCAAACCGTTTTACGTTTTCTGTGTATCATAGTGAATATATCAGCGTTCATTGGTTAACGCTCAACGCTAGTGCCTTCTATTTTTGGGGTTACAAAACGAAAATTAGTGTTACTTTTACAGAATCAATCAAAGCTACTAAGCGGGATTAACTAGCAGTTGGTCACTGATTAAAGAAAAGGTAGCAATTGAAGAGCAGGACAATAAAGGAGATTATAGAGTTCTTATATGTATTTCTGTGCTCATTATTGTACTTTGTCATCGCTTTAGATGAAGTATATGAATAGAATAAATATTATTGGAAGTTTTCAGGTATTTATTGAATACCTCCTTGAAATACGCATGTATTTACTTCATTTCCCTACCTTAGATTTGTCCATGCACAACCAAAACTTTGATCATCTACGTATTCGCTTAGATATACTTAATCCTGATCTACTACTGACTAAGCTTTATGACCCATTAGTCAATATTGGAGTGAAACATGTGAATCAACTTCTTGAACGTTGTCCAGAACTACCGTTGTCTACTATGACGTGTATATCTCCATATCCAAGTAATATATTGTCGCAGAAAACTATTCTTCAAGAAGCTTTAGAAGTATTAAACCACTATCTTATGCATAATGACTTAGTAAATGTTGTTCAGCGTTTTCCAAGTAAGCTTTTCTAATGTCTAATTATTGTAATAAACTGTTATTGGGATGTTTTACTCAAAACTGGTTCTGGTGTTCATAAATACGATTAAGATGGGTACACATGAACACGGTAAAGAAGTTATCGGCTTTTACCACTGTGTGACAAAATGGAAAATAATATACGGTGATTCAGACTTTAGTGACGCTCTAGTAAGTTAACTTAACAGAAGCGATTTAACTTGTAGGCAGCGTAGGGGCACAGAACATCAGAGTTCCTTTACTCAACCATCTAGGCAGTCAATATTCAAGGTTTCTATTTCAGTGACGCTTTTGGAATTGACATTCTCTAACTGAGTTGTTCAGTTATCATATATTGATAGCTACCTGAATGTGTGGTGTTTAAGCGAGAACTGAATGAGAATTGTTTGATTTATATAGCATATGCGTACAGCTGTATTCAGGCTTTTAATTTTATGATCATTCAGTAAGCGAACTCACTCCATGTACTACTTTTGTGAGCAGAGACAGTAGATACTTTCTAGTGTTGTGTTATCGTATATTCGATGACTTTATTACGGGTTTGGGTAAATTGATCTACAGTTTATTGAGAAGATCGTACTTCAATCTTGAGGAATTTTAATAAAAAATGATGCAGAGTCTTTAAAATAAATGTGACACTCTATGTCAAGTATTTCTGGATGTGGTAACAGTCGGTATGATGATGTTTATTTTTTGCCACTTATCTGTAACTCAGTAGACTATCATCTGGTTACAAATATCCTTTCGAAATGAACGAAAATATTTAAAGTTCAGGATTGTGATAAAGATTGTTCAGTACTTTCTGGTATTTGATATTTTGTCGTTAAGAATTTAGTTCTGATCATATCACCAAGCCTGATGATGGAAGGTCCTCGATCAAGCACCAAAGCTCAGGGAAGATCAAACTATTCTCATATTAATACGTAAATCTTTTTCATCTCATTAGTTGAATACAGGTATGTTCACTGAGCTATTAATCAGACTTGTGCTTAAAACTGAATGAAGCCTACTTGGTTGTTGAAACCCCATTAAGTGGAGCAAGTTTTGAACCCGTAATGTATCATTTGAAAGTCTAGTGTCTATGCAGATGAACTATAGCTGTAACCAGAGTAAATTGTGAGTAACATTCTCAGCATGCGGAACAAGATACGGATTTTCAACACCAACGTCAAGTCAGTGCTCTTGTATGGCTCAGAGACTTGGCGCGTCACGAAAGGCATTTCCAATAAACTACAGACATTCATCAACAACTGCTTACGCTGGCTCGATACTGAAGATCAGATGGATTGCCAGAAAGAATAAGCAACAAGGAACTCTGGGAACGAACCAACCAAGAACCTATCACGCAACAAATATGCAGGAGGAAGTGGAGATGGATTGGCCATGCACTGAGAAGGCCGACTGAGGACATCACGCGTCAGGCCAGTTACTCGAGTGGAATCCCCATGGGAAGCGACGAGTTGGACGTCGGTGTCGAGGGTGACATGGAGGAGGTCGTGCGAGGAGGAAATGAGAGCTTGTGGGCTGTCGTGGGACCAGGTCCAAAAGATCTCAGAGAACAGAGTGTACTGGAGGCGTGCTACTGAAGCCCTATGTTCCACTAGGAACCCAAGGGACTAATAATAATAAAAATAATAAACATTCTCGAAGCCAAAATTCAGCAATCTGGGGATAGCATATTTTTTTGTTTGGTTGTCTGTTGATCTGTCCCAAAGAAAATAAAGTTTATTCCTTAATTCTTATTGGTTATCTTCAAATAGAGTCTATTTAGTTACTGATGTATAAATTTATATTAGTTCCAGTTGATGAACACAATAAATGGTGCAGTTACCTGATGACATCGGACAGTTATGTGTAAGAAAAGACAATAAGTTTTTGCTACGCTATATACTGATATTTATGTACATGTATTTCATTCCGCTTTGTCAGAATATTTTAACATGTTTTTTATTATTTCAATAAGGTGTCCTACTTCGTGACAGGCTTGAATTAATTAGCTTATGTGAATTTTGTATCCACGAATTACATTTGGAGTCATTTGACATTATACGTGCATTATCTTCACCGAATCATAAACATTCATTGCGTCATTCAACTGGTATCAGCATATGTAAATGTCCTGTTTGGGAATTACCATTAAAAGACGTTCGTGCAAGATTTACACTTTTACGTCTGGCAGGATGTTGGCCGTTATCAAGACCATCAGTTGGGAAGTCCAGTGAGTTTTTAGGTTATAATCTGCGTTAGATGTTTTTTTTTTGTATTTACTTTCAGTGTCACGTGAACATGGTTTTTTGGTCAGTTGTTTAAACTCATTGAGTAATTTATGTTTTGTTTTTGAAATTCCTTTCTTTTAGTTAATGTTGATCAGAAGTTGGCATCTTTTTTGAAAGCGTCTCCTGCAGAGCTTTCTCACTGTTTGAATATGAATCTACGAATTTCTACATCTAAGGCTAAAAAATAGCAATAATTATGACGATAAAAGAAGTGCTCCTGCAAAATTTGATGTATCCAATGGAATAGTATTCACCAAGTCAGATATACAGTTTTTTGAGGAAGTGTATTCACGCCTGCTCACAGATACAGAGGATACTGTCGAGAATGTGTGTCATGATGTTTTAACTGATGATGATCATGATGATGGCTCGAAAGAATCAGACCTTGAGATCTAAAAACACTTGTTAGTACGTAATAATCCCTTCACTGTATCTGCAGTTCAGAATATTCATCGGCTGTATATTTGTGCATACATAGCAATCAATTTTCGTAATATTTTGGGATTTCTAAGATTTTTGTAGTGAATCTCCTTGTATTCCACTACTGTAAACACCATATACGTAATGTTTCATAATATATGAGAAAAAAATATATGCTAAACAAAAGTTGTTCTTATAATTGACGTAGTCATGACTAGCAGTGAAATCCAGAATATGTACTTCGTCCTATTTGGGACTCGTCATCCGAATGCACCTGCTAAGAGATCGATCAATTCGATTCAGAATAACAATCAAGGATTAAAAGCAACAACGAATAAAAGTTATTCCTATTTCAAAGATACTGAAGACAGACTGAACGCCGTCGGATAACAGAGCCCTAGTTCAAGTTTCTACACTTGCTCATAGCCGCCGCATAGCCAAACCCAAACAAACAGAGGTGAAATGTCAAAAGACCCTACAAAAGACATAAGTGTAGAAACAAAAAAAGTAATTATGGGATGGAATGTTGTACTTATTTACTTTTCTAATATGCTTTAATAGTGGAGTGGTGAAGTAATTCTGTTAATTTGACTAGAAACAAAGGAAAGAGAGAGATAGAATCATACATTGATTTCTAAAATCAAATTACTGTCAATCTGTATGCATTAAACTAAATGTCAAATTATCCTGAATAATGTGTTGCTACAGCGTCGACCGAGAAGTAATTTGGCAGTTGCTTCAACACTACGGAATACCACAAACCCTCATCAATCTCATTCAACAGCAGCTATATGAAGACGCCGCATGCCAAGTAATTCACAATGGGAAGCTCAGCTCAGTGATGCTTTCGAGGTGAAGACAGAAGGGAGTAAGACAAGGCTGTCTACTATCACCTATGATATTCCCGATTGCAGTGTACTGGATCATACAACAAACGGTGAGGAGCGAGAAGAGGGGGATACGCTGGCTGGACCGGGGAAAAGATCCGAGAAGGTTTGGATTTCGCCAATGATGACTTGTGTCTAGTGTCACACAAACTTGAAGATCTACAGGCGAAGACTAACAAGTAGACAGAAGAGGCAGGGCAGGACAGGACAGGGCAGCGAAGACGGCAATTCAAGTGGACGTAGAGAAGACAGAGGTAATGAGGATACCCAACCAACATCACTACCGACAACAACAACAACAACAAGCTCCAATCACCATCAACGGGAGAAACTTGAAGGAAGTAGCCTCTTTCAACTACCTAGACAGCACTCTTTTGTTGAGTGATGGGTTCTTGGTTGGTTGACGACCAAAGTGAGTTCCTTATTGCTTATTCTCTCTGGCCATCCTAGCTTCAGTAACGAGCCAGCGTAGGCAGTTGTTGATGAATGTCTGTAGTTTGTTGGAAATCCCTTTCGTAACGCGCCAAGTCTCTGAACCATACAGAAGCACTGACTTGACTGGGTTGGTGTTGAAAATCCGTATCTTGTTCCACATACTGAGTTCAGAAGATCTCCACACTGGTTTCAGACTAATGAACGCCTGTCTTGCTGTCTTTCCGATCCTGGCCGGCTTTGAAGTCCTCGTCTGTGCCGCCGAGTGTAGTTGAAAGAGTGCTGCCTAGGTAGTTGAAAGAGGCTACTTCCTTCAAGTTTCTCCCGTTGATGGTGATTGGAGCTTGTTGTTGTTGTTGTTGTTGTTGGTAGTGGTGTTGGTTGGTTATCCTCATTACCTCTGTCTTCTCTACGTCCACTTGAATTGCCGTCTTCGCTGCCCTGTCCTGTCCTGCCCTGCCTCTTCTGTCTACTTGTTAGTCTTCGCCTGTAGATCTTCAAGTTTGTGTGACACTAGACACAAGTCATCATTGGCGAAATCCAAACCTTCTCGGATCTTTTCCCCGGTCCAGCCAGCGTATCCCCCTCTTCTCGCTCCTCACCGTTTGTTGTATGATCCAGTACACTACAATCAGGAAGGTCATGGGTACCTTTACTTCCTTCCACACCGTCTGCGATTGAGGTGTGGGCGTATCCGGCGTTGTCCCTGTGTCTGCTCTCAGTGCTCCTGGCGGGATTCCATCTGGTCCTGCTGCTTTCCCGAATTTCAGTAGCTTTATGGAGCTCAGGACTTCTATTTTTGTCTGAGGATTCGTGTTCACTTGTAGTTCTGTGGCTGGGCTGCAGGTGGTATTTCTGGACGAAGTGCAGGTGGTGGTGGTGGTCGATTGAAGAGCTTCTTGAAGTGGTCAGCCCATCGTTTCCTTTGTTTCTCCTCTTTGTCGGTAACTGAGTTTCTTCCACTATCTTTCATTGGTTTCATCTGTGTTGATCTCTTCCCTCCCTCCCAGATAGTAACCTGGTTATTTGATACAATGTTGTCAGGTCTCTGTCTGTCCTACCAGCCTCCAGTCTGTTCTGCTTCACTTGCCAGTTTGTCGTGGAAGTTTCTTTTGTCTTTGCACACACTCTTCTTCATTTCTTTGTCCAGTGTATTGTTTTTTACGTTATGCTCAGTTCCCCTTCTCGTCGTTCATCCTTCACTGCACTGGTTTATCTTCTGCTTCACCATCCTCCTCTCCCTGCTCTAACAGCTTCCATGTGTCTGTCGAGATGCATTGCCTATCTTCTTTCTTCTTCCTTCCTAATACGCTTGGTTATGCAGGTATTCTCTCCAAATCTCTTTCAAAGACTTCCAGTGTTCTTCCACACAGGTTTGTTTCTTCAGGGATGCTGCTGGATATCTCCCGCAGTTTTAATACTAAGGCTGATTAATATACTATCTTCGTCTTTGCGTATAAACTGACAATTTGATCTTTCTTTACGTCGATTATTTTTTAAAGCCTATTCATCCTTTGTTCACACAAGTTGCACAACAGTTAATTGTGTTACCATATAGTTCAGAATATTTTGCGCTTATGCTCTTTACACTTCAAATAATTAACATCTGCATGAGTTTATAGTTAGGCTAACTTTGAAGAGCATTTTTAGTTTTCATATGGTGGTAAATATGCGATAAATGAATATGAAGGATTTCTTTATTGATCCATGGATTTCGTTAATCGCTTTTTTTTTCTACAGAATGATGAATTACTGAAAAAGATGAATTTGTATAAATAGCCCGTAGTTGCTGATTGTTGTTCGTTCTGAATACTCTATGACCTGTGGAGTCGAATATATTGAAAATGTAATTGATTCCTTCATGCGATGAAATTAGATGACGGTCATCCTAAGCGATGAAATAATTGAAGCTGGAGAATATATATAATTGAATTTCTTAAATTGGAACATGACTGCTGTATGACTTAGGGAGTGTACATTGCTTAAAATTCTCAAATTGGAGTTGAATAGTTGTATGCTTTACAGGTTTCTGTTTTTAATTACTGGTGAGAAATATGCCTTGGAAATATGTTAGTTACGTAAAGATAATTTGTATGGCGTATTGTACAGAAGTAACACCTAAGTAAGTAACCATGAGAATGCTCATGTTACTTCCTGATCAAGACTACAACTAGAAGTCATTAACAGTTTCATACGAAGTATCTTTTCTGATCACCGAGCTAATGTTGACATTTTGATACGCAAACGCAACCTTATTTACGCGACTTATCACGTATGTATGTGTGGAACTGTTAAAATTCACATGTTAGAATATAGCATATAAATACAAAACTAACTATAACAGATAGTTTGGACACATATACGTCGAAAGTATCTCTGCGTTATAAATGGGAATATCAAAATTCATTTGAAATCACTCTGCGTATATCAACTCATTGGTTTGACTTCAATTCATACAAAAAGTTGGTTCAGGGATCTTTCGGAGATGTTTCTACAGTCTAATCTAGTGGGGTTGTATTGATTTCATATGCACATTGGTGATATAATTTGCAAACTCATCGGAACGTAAGACGGTAAAGTTGGTATGCTCATAGGATGACAGTTGAGGTTTACCATTCCATTCACCCGTCTAAACGATGGTGTGCTCTACGCGAACTTCAAGATTTTCCTGGAATTTTCAAGTAAGTGGTAGATTATAAGTGGACCTGACTAGGGAATTTTCAAACGACTGCAGTCAGTTTAGGTTTAGAACTTCATCAAATCACTCAAAAGCAAACATTTTCCAATCCTAGTTTCTCTGTGATTCTATTCTGACTCATGCCAACACCTTGAAACTCCGTGTTTGTGTGGAATTTACTATCGTATTGTAAATAAAATGGTCTAGACAGAAACCAAAGTTTCAAGTCATCAGTCACTGAGGTTAAAGTTTTTTGTTTTCAGTTTTTCTTCCCTATGTCTTTGTTTAGCTAAAATGATCATGGTGAACATAGTGGCATTTTTGTCGACTAGTTAGAATAGTCTTTAGTCTTTTTTCTATCATTTCAGTCTATTTATTAGAAATATCACACAGTGAAATAGTATCTTTTACTGGACACAATTTATTTTTCATATTTACATCATATCACTGTGTGACATTTCTAGTAGACAGACTGAGGTGGAATTGCAATTTACCACATTGCCCAGGTTTTATTCCCATATTTTTCTTATCATATTTTACGTACATAAAAATAATATTCCCAGAGTGACTTTAAGATTGGCTTTAAATGTCAACATCATAGCAATGACTGAAATAGTCAAGTGGGTTTCTTTATTTTGACTAGAAAGGTAGACTTTCATAAAATGAAGAAGTTTCATTTCGTTATTTCAGTTGTTTTTAGGGCGTCCTTTAAAGTCTAGTGACTTTAAGGCCACTCTGGCGATTGCTGAAATAACGAAATAAGTTTTTGGTA